TGGCTTCCACCTATCATCAAGTGAATCCATGCTTAACTGTCCTCCTATACATTAAAAAAAAACTTTTATTAGCACTCAAGTGAAACATATACATTCAAGGACCTTATGTAATACACTTTTAAAATTGTGTTACTACTTTACAATATTAGCTCATTTTGCAGCTGCAAGCAATCAGGTTATTGATGCTGGAAGGTGAAGCTAATCAAGCTCTGATTAGGTGCCTTCTACTTGCAAATTAGCTTAGATGTATCAAGAATTTTACACTAGATACGTGTAGTTTAATTAACGCTCTATTTATATGAATACATTTAATTCTTAAAGGAAATTTAAAACATCTCCTGTAGTTTATAAAAGTACTAACAGAAACGTGATGTAATTTTTCTGTCAGACTATTCTGTTTACGGTTTAACCAACTTATTGTCAATTAAAACTGTTTTTAAAGAGCTGTTACAATGTTCTTAAGCACACATTTGATAACAAGATATAAGATTTAATTGAATATTAATAAGAAGACGTTTCTATATAAGTAAAACCAACATAAGACAGCATATACAATATGCATCGCTATGCAAAACATAGCATTAATCTGTTTGAAATCCTGTTTTTCCTATAAATGAGGCATGGGGCAGACAAATTTACAGGGGTCTATGCTAGTTCCACGAAAGTGTCGGGGTCAAAAAAGTATTTTAGAGTAATCGTATTTTAACGTGATTTCGGATACTTACATTTTTCCTAAGAAAAATGTTGTCCCTTCGTCAAACCAAGTCTAGAACTCTCTATCAACTATATCATCCAATAATAATACATATATTGTCCCTTACATTTAACACCTAAGCAAACAGCTATCATTAAGCAATTTTCCGATCGAAGTAACTTCCCCAAATCTTATAACCACAGGCACAGAATGTTATTACTAGTACGTTAACTTATTCTGAAGCTACAATTACTGATTTTAATACTTTATCTAACATTCAAAATTGCAATATATAAATAAAACAAAATGTTAATATCAATGGCATAGTCTTGTTTACTTAAATAACACTTTCGGAAATTTTATTCATGTTTAATAGTATTAAAAGAATTTAATTAAACATTATTTTAACTAAAATTTAAGATGCAGATTGTACTTAATAATTATTGGAGCTTTCCTAAAACACTCAATATCTGAATTTTTATTTATTATAATAGTACCTGGGACAATATAACAGAGAAAGAGGAATCTAAAACAACCATATTTTTATGATTTCGCAACTGTTGTTTTTATACTCTGACTACAGCCTTAGGGTGAAAAGGCTATTTATTGTGACGATAAGCTTTGCTACCTAGGGAATAACTGCTTTTAATATCAATCCAGGTCTATTTTACAGCTTTATTTATTACGTTAAATCTCTCAACGACATTTAACTATGTATTTCTATTAAACAAGCGTTTTTCTCATGGTGATTCATCAAGGAGATGACGAGTTCCCAACTTCAAATCCCAGGAAAATGTAAGAATTTTCACTAAAATACTTCTAACGGTTTGAAAATATTTTAGCAGCCATTCCACGCGGTCACGGCTACTGAAAAGCATCCTTTATAAGTTAAAATAGATTAAAAACAAGTTAACAAATATATGTCGCGTTTTAAACCGTTAAGTGGCTTGTTGTGTTAAGTTAAGTGTGTACTTATCTCGTAAATTACAGAAATGTTTCGAATTTTATGGTATCAACCTATATTTTGAATGTAAAAGTTGACATCGCTGACCTATTTAAATAAAACACTTAAACGGTTTAAAACGCGATATATATTAGTTAAAATTATTTGAAAATCATTTTGCCGTGGTCACGGGGAAACGGCTGCTGCAAAGCATGCGAAACGTCCGTAGTTAAAACCGTTAAAGTTGTTTTATTTAAATGTGTATTACTCGCGTAAACTACAGACACTATCGCTGACCTATCTTCAGAGATGACGTCCAGATGTTCCTGTATGTATGGGACAATAGAAGGTTGAAACAAACTTATTATTTTTCCCAATGAAAATATCATTAAATAAGGCATAATATTGCATTACATCATACTTGACTGAAGAATACTGAAAAAGAGAATTAATAATTAGGTATATTATACAAAATAAATAGATACCCACACAAGCAAAATACATTTAATATTGGCAGGAAATTTGAAAAAAGGCCCTCAAAGAACTTTTCCACAGCAGACTTTGAAACAAAGGAAGGCTTTTATTTTCGCTACAACGTGATAATGGATCCTTCGAGATTTTATATTTCTAAATACGCATAAATAAGAATAATGCTGTATTGGTTTTTGTCATTTGCGGGAAAATACTAGTCTCTGTGAATTATATACACATTTATATGATAGTTCGATGCTAATAAGGTAGATATATAAAATTATAATTTTAACGGTTTAAAACGGAAAACATATGAACAGAAGATTTTTTTTAATATAGAGGAGGGTTCACTTAATTGGAGGTGACATATAACATCTAAAGCAAGATGCGCCTATGAATGAAGATGACCTATATTGGCTTGATATATACTGAATATCCACGGACTGCAACCGAAACGCGAACAAACTCCACGTCTTTTCTATCTCTGGACCTTGGCGGAATATCGATATTCCTAACGCCCATTTAATATCCAGTTTCCCAGAGAGAAGTCGCACATGTAGCAGAAAAATTAAAAATTAGAAACATTTAAATAAAACACTTTAACGGTTTAAAACGTGATATAAACTAATAGCTAACTAATATATCGCGTTTTAAACCGTTAAAGTGTTTTATTTAAATGTGTACTACTCGCGTAAACTATAGACAGTATTTTATTAGATACATGTTGGATCCGGTGGGGATCGAATCAACGGCCCGTTGACTCTTAGCCGTACGTAATGGTAGCTAACCATTAGACCCGTCAAAGTAACTAGCAATAACTGCTAAGGGTATATAATCCGCGCCACAACGAAGCAATCAACTCAACAATATAGATTAATCCGAAGATTTACTCCATTACAGGATAGACTGTTGTAATTCGTGAAAGTAACAAATATAAGCGACTGTACGTAAATCAATTACGCGGGACAAGACGAGGCGTGTTCGGGCTTGGCCCATTTCTGGGACATCCATCCTATTTGGACGACAGCCCCCGGGGCCAGCCGGGCAATCGTCTGCGGTTTAATTCAAATATTACTTGCGGAATTGAATATTCGGCTGGGCCACGAAATGTGACTTTGTCTTAATTAAGCTGTACTCAGAGTTAGGTTAGGCTATGATTTATTTAATATAGTCGCTATTTATTTAATTGTATGTATTATTTAGTTTAGTATCACGTGAAGTATGTAATTTTCAGTTTTATTTTTTTAAATTGTATATCTTGTTTAGTCCACCTTGCACTTTTTTCAACTCGTTTTTTCGCTTTCACTTGAAAGTTGGAAGAATACCCCAGCCATATGATATCTCAACAAAATGCGCTATCGGTTTATTTTTTAGATATTTGGAGATTCAATGACGACTGCATCATCTCGATTCTAGACTATGATTCGTGACCCGGACAGAACTATCGAAATTCCCCATTGAATATTAACATATCCAGACAAAGTCTAACATGTTTCAGAAAAATTATTACATTGATTAGAAATTTGCTGGATCCGTTGGGCATCGAACCGCGACCCATTCATTAGTCATAAATTGCTACTATTAGACCAACGGGGTATAAAACGACCTTTCAGTCATGTTTTTTTAATGTTTAAGATTCAAAGCAATTAACGTTTAAATTTTTTTAATGTAAAATATATCACGTAAAACGTCTATTTCATAAAATCAATTACGATTGTACACAGGTAAGTTTCTTAACACTCACAAAAATAAATAACATATCCGGTGTTCTTTGACGCGAGTGAGTTGACATTTGCTCTTTGACCTTCTTGTATTGGTTTCGAGAAATCCATTTTCATCGTCAAATTGTTATAACAAAAAAGGAGTTGATTTCGTTAAATAGTCAGTGTAACAATATGTTCGTACCTAGTACACACAGGCTTAGCCCATAATGTGGGCATAATTCCCACCAATTCTTTTGGCAAATCAGTTTTAAGGTCTGGAAATCTGTAGATTTAATTAATGAGAATCAATATATATCCCTCGTGACCGATCACGAAACATCGCAGATGGAAAAACGTGAATTCGCCTTTCGGTTTCAGTCGGTGGTTTTCCAGATGCCAAATTCGACACCAATAGGACGACCGCGCATTTGAATTAGATGGAGTGTAGTATTTCACCTTTAATTGTCTGTCCTTCGTTTCGTTAACGCGATTAGAATACATTAAATAACCGTTGACGGTACAAGACGTGAAATTTATCTATTCATTTATAACTATGAAGTTTGGATTACGACAGCAGTCACGGGGTTCCTCTGGTAAGAAATAAAATAAATACCGTGTGTCGTTTACGAGAGTACACATGTAAATAAAACACTTTAACCGTTTAAAACGCGATATATTTTAGTTAAACTTGTTTGAAATTTATTTTTAACTACGGCCCGACGTTTCGGATGCTATGCATAAAAAATTGCTACGCTAACGCCACCTGTTCCGTCGAAGTTAGTAATTGGTGAAACTGGCCGGGTCCTTGCAGAATTGATTCACGGTGTCTTCGATTTTGCCGGTTGCTGGATGCTGTTTATTGGAATCCAGAGATTTTATTATGGGATTCCAGGTGTTTGATAATTTCCGTGTTTTTTAATTTCAATTGCTTCGCGTACCAATGCGAGGATTATTGGCTGGTCAAAGCGAATGTAGTGATTAGATTTTACACGTTAAAACCGCTTTTTTACGTCCTGGTATAATATCTACAATCTTGGAATTCGAGCGACATTTAAATTCCCATATATATGTATACTAAAAAGTAACACAAAGCAGGTGCAAGTAACATCTAGTTAAAAGCCTAGTCATACACAATTGGAAGAGAACCTCATCTTCGCGAGTCGATAAGTCATACGTCAAAGATCCCAACATGGGGAAGTTTCTCATTATAACTGCTGATGAACATGTCAGAACATACGCGACTGGAACAGAACACAGAACAATCCAGAAGGTATATTTCATCTGGGAACAGAACCCCTCTAAGATGGATTCTCCCATGCACTTTCGCTTCTATTAGCCGCGGGTTTATTTAGTTAGTTGTTATCAGTGTGATGTTTTGTAGCCTATAGCCTTTCTCTATAAATGCTTGACTAACCAACACAAAAATATTTTTCAATTCGAACCAGTAGTTCCTGAGATTAGCGCGCACAAACAAACAAACATACTCTTCAGCTTTATATATTAGTAAAGATGTCTCAATGAATTTTGTTTATATTTTGTTGTCTATAAGGCACAGTAAAAATGCGATTAAGTTGAAGGCAATTTGTATTCTTAAGAATAAACATATTATTGTAAACGGTCATCGTTGGAGTAGTTTGTTTTGTAACCACACCAATTTGGAGTAGCCGTATCGACCTCACACAACGCTTTAATGGATTCTGAACTGTTCTGTATTGTATAAACTAGATATAAAGTTTTATAGAGGCAATTAATTATGTATACCACATTATTATTCATCTATAATTTAATAATTGATAGTTGAAATTATTTCTCGTTAATGGTAAGACCACAAAATAAAACCTTTGAAATGTATTTTCCGAATGTTTCCGAACAGAACGCTTTTAATATTAAATTACTCCTATTGTCTGTAGTTTCGCGAGTAGTACACAGAAAATATATTAGATGTCTTGCATCCGAAACGTCGGGCCGTAGATCAAATAAATCTACATTAATGTTTTAAAGATTTGTATGTTTGTGTGTATGTTTATAATGATTTAAAAACTTTAGGATTGTAACCAAATTTTCAACTTCAGAAATTATTACTCAATACCGTGCAAAAAAATATTCCGGGGCGGACTACTAATTGTAAATAAGTTAACTAAGTTCGGAAAGTCATTTAAATACGTTATATTTGGGGAGTAGTACACATTTGAAAGACAGTTTATCGGTTATAATGAATAAATATTTTATTAAATTATATATTGGCCATTCCGGTCCAAAACGGCTTTTGCAAAGCATCATCGTGCGGTTAAAATTCGCCGATTTGCATCAACTAATATTTTTATCGCATCTTTGTCAGCTTCGAGCGGCCTTCCAGACCGTGGTGCATCTTCGACATCAAAATTGCCGGATCGAAATTTTGCAAAATTAAAATATGACGAAAATGCTGCTTATTGCTCTCCATATTGAAAAGGGCACCAACCAAAAACTACTGTGTAGAATTAATAGAACTTTTTCTTACACATGCCTTGCAACATCAGCTCTCAAGACATATAATGGTTATGCGGCTTAAGTGTGAAGTTGGTTTCGAAAAAACGTAATTAAGTCCTCTGACGGGAAAAAACGAAACTACTTTCCGTCTATACCCATTTCACGTCTCTTCAATGTTTGGGAAATCTATACTTTTTATTTTATGTATTTCTAAACATGTATATATATTTAAACAATACTTTTTCTAGTACTGATGTAATGATGTTTTTTTTTTTTAAACACTTGTCTTGTATAATTTCCACTATCTCTTGTTGCTATTTATCTGAAAACAATTCGTAACTAGGTAAATGATTTTCACTTATCGCACAGGGGTGGAATGTCGGCAGTTTATCACCTATGCCATCTAATTACCAATTTTCCAGCTAACTGAACGGTGAGAGCCAATGATTGACCGATTTAATCAGAGTGAATGAGCGGATCTTCGTTCGCGGGCGGGAAAAAATTGATTGGCTCGAATCAATTCATTTGTGGCTTCGACAGGCGGTTTTTGTTGATACCTTGCCCACATTTTTTACAATCAGGGACGCGAGTTAATTAAAAACGGTGGTTCTGTTGTTCGTGCGAGATTACACTCATTTATCAGGGTAAGACCGCTGCGTCTTCCACCTGCGCACGAGGCAGAACATTGTTCTTCCAATATCGATTTAATTTAGATACAAGTAATGTCTAATACCGCCCTTACTGACGGAAACTATTTTTATTCAACGAGTCGAACCCACGGCTGACGTTATCAAGTCGGCAGTCTCTACCAGCTTTATTAATATACTTTATGAAGTGCCTATTATGTGTTTGTGTGCGTTACTATATATACTAATATCATAACGCTGAAGTCTGGTTCGAAAAAAACAAATTGGAGCGCAGAAACAGTGGGAAATGTCGAAGAAACGGGGAAAATTCTTTGAGGGTTTCCGTTGCGTGCGTTGTGAAACGTTCAAGATAAGCAATATATATATATATATATATATAATAGGGGGACCGGAAAGTAATGTCGTTTCTGCGCATGCCAATACTTGATTGTCATTTGAAGCAAATCCGTTCAACGATCGAGGAATTGTCAAACAGTTCAAAAACCTTTGACCATCCAAGAACATTTGAAGCAGATTGGGAAAGTAACAGAGCAGGTGTTTGGGTTCCGCATAATCAGTCAAATAAGCTACCATCAATCACTCAACTTATTGCTTCAAACACAAACAGAAGCGTTTTTTGATCGCTTGATCACAGGAGATGAGAAATGGGTCCTGTATGATAACCCAAAACGCAAAAGGCAGTGGCTCTCTCCAAATAAATCCCTCGAGTACTGCTAACCAGGTTTACACCCCAAAAGAGCGCTTTTGTGTTTGGTGGAGTATTCGCGGCATTGTTCATTTTGAATTACTAAATCTGGACAAACTTTACTGCAGACCTCTACAGCGAACAATTGCAGCGAGTCAATAATCTTAATTGAAAATGCCAGCGATTGTCAACCGAAAAAGGCGTCATTCTCCAACATGACAATGCAAACCGCACTGCGCAAGGCGAATCTAGAAAAAATTAAGGAATTGGGGTGGGAGGTGCTGCCTCATCCACCATATTCGCCCGATGTTGCACCATCGGATTTCCACTTATTCCGAGCGCTGCAACACTTTTTAAGTGGCAAAACATTTGCAAATTTGGATGATATCCAAAATGCCATCTCTAGATATTTTGCCGAAAAACCAATTAATTTTTATCGATCAGGGATTGAAAATTTACTCACTAGATGGCAAAAGGTTATTGACAATGATGGGGAAACATCATGATTAAAAATAAAGACTCGTTAAAAATGTATGTGTTTTTAATTAAGCGTAAGAAAACGACATTACTTTCCGGTCCCCCTAATATATATATATGATTTCGGCGACAGTATATTTCTATCTTTTAAGATAAGCAATACCGATGGAACGCGGACGAAGTCTTAGCAGCTACAGCTTTTAAAGATGAGGAGAAGGTTTGCAAAAATAATTTTTGACACCCCATATCTACGGACGGACAACCGAGTAGTCGCTGTCATAGCTAGTGCAAAATAATTTCATTTCAGTCGAGTCACCGTTCGCATCGCGCGAATTTTCGGTACGCCGAGTTTTCGATGATCAGATCATTCAACCGGTTCGGCGGGGCGTAGCTAGTATAAAATAAATCCAGGGTCGTTCTCCACAGGAGAGCACCTCGACTTCGTTTGGCACAGTGCCGAAATTATAAGGAATAGAATGGGATGCAGAGCCCAAATGTGAATCTATCAATCATTCGGAGAGGTACGAATGATGCGAACGGCGTGATTAAGCATAATAATTCTGCGGTTGTGCCGAATTCTGCGGGTTCACCGTTGGGAATTCTTCGCGTACCCTGGAGTGGGGGATCTTTAAATTTCAACTGAAGTAAGGGACGCATTTCGGTTGCAAAACAAACTTCTATATTGAACTTATTATGTATTTATTTGTTGCGACTTTACAATACGTTCAGCAATTGTACCAAAATCGGTTAGGGCGAAGTACAAAGGAAGCGAGGGGGGGTTTGTTTGAGTACTGCAAGGTATTGAACCTTTTCAATAAAGTCAAATATTTTATACTTTGTGAAGAAATTGATAACGTTCCGTCGCTCAAGTATAGAACTAGACCAGAAAATTAAGGAAACTTGATTATATACCCCGGTAAGAAATGCCGCTAACGAGTAATTTGTATGATAAACGTACCTGTACATGTTACGTCTGTGCTTGAACGACTTGGACAGTAATACGCACTACATGCTGTTGGATAGGACGATGTATGTCGTAAGGTACTGAAGCCAGTTCGCATAAACCGATAGATGGTTTCTTTACCGGTTTAATAGTGTGATAATGTAAAAAAGTTAAATAAAAAATATAAAAAAATGCGGACACCAAAACACGCCTGACAGATGGCGAACTCGAATCCTGGACCTCACGATCAAACCAACGCCTGCCTCGGTAAGTGCACCATGCCTAGATTTCCCCGGAAAATTACCGTTTAAAAAACAATTTCCACTTAATAGCCTGCACAGCGCGATTGCGTCATGTTTGTCTTTTGTTAGAGCTCTCTAATACAAATTAGTATTGCCAGTTACGTCGCAAAGGATTCAATTTGCATCCGTCGTAATTATAGAAGCAACGAGCTTAGCCAAAGTAAATTAAATGCAATGTTCAATTCTAAATGTATTAGACATTTAATGTCTTCAATTATCGGTAAGGTTATAAGTTAACTGTACACTAACATCATTTTTATATTGACAATTATTTCATAGTAATAACTCCTTAATATGCGTTTATGTTATTAATATCGGTCTATACATATAACTATATATATATAGACTTTAATTTTTCAAAAAGGCAAATATGTATTTGTATAAATCAGATTTAAGATTTTTTTTTAATTATAATGCCACCATGTGCTTTATGTGAAAAGTATTAAAGCTTTCAAACACATAAATCCATTTGAAATTATATTTTATTTTCGTATTTAATTTAGTCCCCTAATCTATTTTATAAAATACATAGTGTCGGCGTACAAAATAAATAGGCCATAAACGAGATATTTTTTATAGAATATCAGTTGTGACAAAAAACAAAGATTGAGAGACTCACTCATACGTAGTGAGTGTGTCAAGAGGAAGAGAAGTCAGTAGGTTAAACTACAACAATACTATTAAGATTTCAAAAAGATTTCGAAAACTAATTCATATTTACTTCAGTTACAATAAATTGGAACAGAACGGAATCCTAATAAAGTGGAACTTAAAGCAGACACATATCTGCATCCGTTCCAATAATCGTCCATTTTACATGTTAATTAGATATCTGAAATTTTTTTGACGGAAATCGTTGTGTCACCGGCCTGATCATTTCGACCCAGGCCTGCGCATGCGTCACTGTAACGGTCGAAACTATATTAAAATCTACCTACCTTGTTTTCTAAAAGTCAATATTAAAGCAACGGTTAGGTAATAAAAAAAACAAAATATTATATTACTCTTTAATCAAAATCACTGGCACACATACATAATTAGTCATACTTAAACAATCAATATATAATCTAGTTAGTAATCAAACTTGCACCGATCAATTATATTTGTAAAAACTAAATACGTCAATAAAACTTTACAATACAAACCATTTTTAGAAAACTTTAAACTAATACAAATCATCGTAACATTATTGTCAGCAAATATTAAAGCTAAACACCTAAAAGATATAAATATATGTACTTACCAAAAACTAAAACTATGTAGAGGATAAATTATCCAATATTATTATTGTCTCTTACTACATAAAAAAACACATTAAAAAAATAAATGCATACTTGAGTACAAATTTTAGGTGTTAGCATTGTCTATAGAAACATATAAGGATTAAATAGTTGTCTTTGAGTTTAACAATTTATCAAATACTCAGGGACTCGCATGCAAACTAAAATGAGAAAACCAAAGCAATTGTCAGTTACTTCATATATATGTCTCATTACACATAATCTATATGTTGATCATATAGAACTGTTAATATCATATACACATAACAATATGTTTCTATTACCGCTAGATGTCCAGTTCGTCTAATACAAAAAATATGTCTATACATTTAAAGCTTTTAAAAATCCCCTGTGGAGCATAGGTGATCAAAGTTCTGAGCCTACTTAACTGAAACAATTTATAACCGAAGTCCTAGAACAATGTTAGGTTACGGTTAAAATCTAGCTCCACTCAAATTAAAGCAACAGTGAATGAATACTGCCATACTCGCATGAACAATTGTTCTTAAATTTATTTTTATTTAAGCGCAAGAACGGCTGTATTTTATAATCTAGGGCCAATAGTTTTAAGTCTCTCTCCTTTTAAAGGAGTTTTGTCTAAAGCTGATTACGTACTGATCAAAATGCTCGCAGCGTCTTCGAACATTCGCGCACTCAGTACTTATTACCGCAAAATCAACGATCAATCCGCTCTTCGCTTGCTTTGAGTACTCGTTTTGACTGTTACGCGTATAGCATTAATTCTGTAGGTATACTGTACATCTTGACCGCGAATACCGAACACTTTTCTCGCAACGAACATGTCACGAAACCACATCGAGCATGCTCACTGCGAATGCTCGATTACACTGCGATCATTTGGTCAGTACCGAGCACAACAACTGAACATTTTCGTAGTAACGAATCGTTATTGAACTGTAACAAAGGCAAATGAGTATTAAGCTCCCTCGAAAAGTACTGAAAACGCAAAGACGGAGCCCAATCAATAAATTCCTTTTCAACATAAAGGGAATATCGGCTGCAAAGGCCGTGCAATTTGGTATCCATTCTAAAATTATCCTCACTATTCGTGTATCTCGAAAGCACATTATGGATCAGTCTATTGTGCACAGTTCCCAATAGCCAAATAGGAGTGGCAACAAATATTCGGAATAGACCACGAAAATATGTGTTAATCGGAAGAATTCCGTACTACGTAAACAAATAATAGTCATTAATATCGATGTAAATTACGCAGCAAACAATAAACGAGATCTTTAAAAACAGACACTCCTGCACAATTTTATTACAACAATGCGATTACACAAATGTCGAAATTAATTTTTTAAATATCAGCAACACCATCAATGCAGGCTTACTAAAATCACATGAAACACGTTTAAATGTTTAAAACGCGAAATATATTAGCTATACTATTACCAACGTCTTTCATTGTTGCTTGAGAAGTATCCAAAACGTCCTTCGGGCCGTAGATAAAAAAATACCTTGTATATTTCGCGTTTATTAACCATTCAAATTGTTTGATTCACTGGTAAATTACAAACAATATTAATGCTCAGATAAAATTTTTGTCTTTCAAATTATGTTTAACATTTTCTTAGTGCATAGTCAATAATATATTTTTTAATAATTACAGCTAGATCTTAATCATTAAAAGGTGGATTTTGATAATGGCAACCGCTATAACTAATACTATTTATTTGTTCATTTCCTGTTGAGCGCTGGCCTGGAGTATGGATGGGTCTGGAACCTTTCCCGGGTACGAACTGCTTTATAACCAACTATTAAATTAAATCTTATTTTACACTAAAACCACATTCAAAGCAATATACTAAAAAGCAAAATTAGCAACCTCAATAAAGCACTACTGTACTACTATTGTAGACGTTAGCGTTTAAAATATACAAAATATTTCTTATTCTGGACATTAGCTATGGAAGATAACTGACGAATCAAACAGAGATAGCAAGCGTCAGATTTGGTCCAAAACTGCGTGCTTATGAAAACAGGACTATTAATTATAAATTAACACAAATAAAAGATTATTATGAAAAAAAGTTTGACCTATCTATTCTAATACTATAAAGCTGAAGAGTTTGTTTATTTATTTGAACGCGCTAATATCAAAAACTACTGGTTCGACTTGAAAAAATATTGGTTTTGGATAGATCATTATGGAAAGGATACTGCGATCAATTGGAAAAACAGTGGAAAAAATTGAATAAAATGCGTTAAAAAAAATTCATCTTTCAGGGCTTCCGCTGCGTGCGCTCTGAAAACGATCCAAGAAACCAAAAAATATCTATGAAAGAATTATTCTTGTTTGTGTGTAATCCCGTTTTCCCCTCGGGGGGCATGGGCGGGACATTTCTGTGTCCGTTCACTGATCCGTTCTTTAACAGCCAAGTACTTGATCAGACTTCTGTGCCTTGCCCGACAGAAACAATTTTTTGTTTCCCTAGGATTCAAACCCAGGACATCTCGCGCCTAACGCAATGCTAGGCAATAGGTTTAAACATTTGGCTACAAAGGCTTCTTTAAATGGTCTAAAAAATGCCTGCGACATTATATAATGTCTATCTTTATCTTTTAAGATTAACGCACAAGAGTGGCGGGACACGGACGACGTCGAAGGTAACAGCTATAGTTTGTAAAGCTAAGGAGGTTGTTTGCAAAAATTTATAAAAATTCCAAGCGGTCGAAGTCGCCGGCACAGCTTGTATAAATAAAGATGTTTAACCATATTCAACAGTCCACTCTAGAAGAGAAAGGGCGTAACATACATTTATTTAAATTTTCGATTAACACAAAGTGCCTTTCTTCCATCTCTCTGTCTCTATTCAAACAGTAAGCGATTCTTTACAAATAGGTAGAAATTCTTTCGTTAATACTCCCGTAATGTAATTATGGGAGAGGAAAACCTTGTCGTAATTACGTAACAATTTAGGTAAGAACATCGTTCGCGATTAGTATGACACGCGCAGACATAGAGAACCTTTGTACTGCTACACGTCAGTCTAAATGTGATTAAACACGACAGCTAATTAAGGTCGCTTCGACGTTACTTTAACGAACTAATCAAAAGTCATAGACAACTTACGACTTGTCTATGATATTTCATATGGATCGGCAATGTTATTTGATAGCTATCTCGAACATATGTTAATTAAAAGCTAGTTTATAATTTTATAGTTATAAGCTTGTACATAACTTTCTAAAGAATATTAATAAAATCGATGTAGACCTTTAAAAATTGTAGATGTGCGTGGGGAGCGTCTTTAAAATTATGAAGAACGACGCGAGTCAAACTACGTAAATTTAACGTTGAAAAACTTAAATTTAAATTATTTATTTAGTTAAAATTACTGAAAAAAGTTCCATTGTTACTGGAACTTTTATTAAATCAAAAGATTGAACTGGATTTCATGTGTCACTGAGTGTCAATTAATTCCATAAAAACTAAAGGTGTTGCCCTTACTAATTATGTGCCAGTCCTTTTTTCCCCATAAATTCGTTACAGGGAGTAAACTAGTTTTCTATAATATGATTAGTAGTAATTTTATTCTACAGAGGACGCGAAATACGGTAATTGATTAAAATATTTTGTATAAAAGAGAGAACAGAGAAAGATAATTGTAAATTAAACCAATCTGTCTGTTTGTATGTAAAAACTCTCTGAGAATACGGCATGGATCTTTTCACCAAATTAAGCGGAACTTGGAGCATCACAATCTTTTCAGTACACATATAGACTACTTACTCAGTTTTGTTGAATTTTATTAAGAAAAATATTTAACCTAAAAAGTGACCAATAAGGGCAGACAAATTTCTAGTGCAAAAGCGTCAATCAAGTAAAGCGATTCCAATTTATATTACCTTGATTATTTCTCTGCAAGGACGTTCCGTCTCTGGCAACACTGGATCCAAATCCGGCCACCGGCGGCCGAGGACCACCCACCGTTGGCACTGGATTCCGTCTGAACGGCGCAACCTTGCCCACCACCGGCACTGGCTTGACTATTTTCGCTGGTAAATAATTTCGTACTTTAATTTGAGTTCTTAAAAGCTTAATATATACGAGATGTTTCTATATTTTCTATAATTAGCATATAAATTAATGAATTAAATAGTAATTTGGACAAATAATATGTTATAAAACGTCTAACCCTTGACATACTATTGAATTATATATAAAACTGAAGCTAACCTCTGTATTGGGGATTGTTAGTTTGATTTATGAAATTCGTCCTGTCCGAAAGCCCCTTCTTCACGGGCACATTGGCTTTCGGCTCGGTCTTCACATTATCCTTCCACTCCATTTTGTTAGCCATAACGAACGTGGAATTTAGGCAATTAGGGTCAATAGTCTTATAGTTCTCAATATCAACATTAAGGTGAGGTTCTCTTTTGACTTTCTTAGCAGAACTGAGATTCCTGGTAACATCCAAACTTTCACAAGAATCATTAATAACAATTGTTTCATTATTCAATAGCTTTACAGGTGTTTCCTTCTTCACAGGTGTCCCTTTACGTTTCTTCGCTGAGAGCCTGGGCTCATGATTCTCAATGTCACAAAAATCGTCACTGTCTGTCTGTACTAGACTGACATCATCCTCAAATTTAACTATCGGTTTATCTAAATCCAATGATGTGACAAATTTGAAGTAATCATCGCCTTGGAACTCTTCATCGGACCAGACAATGTTCTTAGCAGATTTTGCTTTCTTCATAATCTCTAGATACTCCTCTGCTAAGGATGATGGCACCCTATCGTAGCCTTTTAATGTTAGGTATAGTTTTTTCAGCATACTCGGCATGTCCATAACATAATCTGTGAACGATTTGATCTCTTGGTGCTCAATAGATAGAAGTTTGTAACGCAGGTTGTCTCTGGCTTCAACAAGTCTAAGTTTCGCTTGCGTTTGTAGGTTTTGAACAAAATCTATAAGTTCAGGGTGGTCTGATACCGCTTGGTTGTACATAATGTCTAATCGCTTTCGACTTTCTGCCCATTCCGCCCATGCAGAGACCATCTTGGTTTCCAGTTGTATAGATTGTTTCATATAGCTCTCTGCGGCGCGTTCTTGACGCGGTATATCTTCGGTGCACATCTAGAAAAAGAATTGAAATGATTACTTCTAAGATTAGTAGATACAAAGCAAATTTAAAAAAGAAAACCGTTTTTGGGTTAAGGTGTTAATATAATTATAATTCTCAGCCTACCCTCAGAAGATATGTAAAACTAAGCAAGTCTTTCCTTTTAAGTACTTGTTAAAGAATTTAAAGGCTTGATATTTTTTTTGAATTTAAATATTTCATAATTATAAGAAAATTATTTTTCACTACGGCCCGACGTTTTGGATGCTTTGCAACAGCCGTGGTCACGGGGGAACTCCGGAGCATTCTAAACGTCGGGCCGTAGTTAAAAATAATTTTCAAACAAGTTTAACTAAAATATATCGCGTTTTAAACCGTTAAAGTGTTTTATTTAAAATGTGTACTACTCCCGTAAACTACAGACAGTGTTTCATAATAATTAAAATATCAGAAACATATACCTGATCCAAAGGTTCCGATGAGCAACGGTGAGCTAAATCAACCACGTGCTGGAAGGCGCGCTTACGCAGTTGTTGCCGCAATGCGAGTACGCGCTGACGACTCATCATCGACAGCAGTCGATTTTCGACCACCGCATGCGCATTCTCTGCTACACTGATACGTTGCCGCCATTGTTGAGACACTAAAGCAAAAAATAAATTGAAACGCGAAACATATTAGTGAACTTAATGTTTATTTATCTTAATTACGACCCGACATTTCTAATGCTTTGAAGCAGGGGAATTAAAGAAATATGTATATATCGTGTTTTAAACCGTTATGAGTGTCTAATTTCAATATGGAGTACTCACATTAACTACAGACAATATATTATTACAAGCCTGTTATTTACTAAAATTAGTGGAATTATTATTTTTTAATTTGATTGTCGACTTGTGGGTGTACCTAGCTGAAATACTTACGTTTTTCCTTAGCAGGATCTATCTCTTTGACATTCTTCACAGAAGACAAAGATAGTTTTGCTTCCAACTCTTTAATCTTCTTCTTCAATTCCTCATTTATCTTGACATATTGTGATAGCCTCATGTCGCCATCAACAATATTCTTCTTAATGCTGAGCTGAATTTTGTTAGCACGAGCCGCATATTTCAATGTATTGTATGTGTCTTCATAGCTCAAGCTGGAGGGAGACACGTTAGCAATCATAACCGTCTTGCAGTTGCCACCTAGGCTGTCCTTGAGGAGACGGGTCAGTTTTGAGTCTCTGTGAAGAAAAACAACCATATAAAAAGTTATATTTGTTTATAAAAAGTCTAAAGTATGGAATTATGGAAAGTCATTATTTATTTATATTTGACTTGTCTTTTGTTTAGACTACCGCCATGATTAAGCGCGTAAATAATCGTAGAATTAACCGTAAAAATTTAACTTTAAAAATTTACCCGTTTTGTTCATATAGGAAATATGAACAAAACGGGGGAAATTTTTCATGCTGTATCTCTTAAAGTCACAGAGCGATGTTTTATAGCCTATAATCTTCCTTGATAAATGCTCTAACACAAAAATATTTTTCAATTCGAAACCAGTAGTTACTGAGATTAGGGCGCACAAACAAACATCAAACTCTTCAGCTTCATATATTAGTATAGATAATATGCATATTATGTAATAAGATTCTTTGCCCCACGACTGTAATGGGATTACATGTACATTATAATAAAAATCCATAAGTTTGCTTACCTGTACGGGATATAATTGCTACCATCAGCAAGCTTGTTAATACAATTTCCGAGAGACAACAAGCTTTTATTGATATTGGCTCCCTCTTTAAACCGATCACCTTTACAACCAGTTGCAGATGCTCGTTCACTGCCTGCCAGGTCTATCATAGATAGTTTCACCATGCGTAGCTGACTGCTCGTCTTGTAACGCATTTTTACGTACACCTGTAACAAGTGTTAAATATTCACCACTTTATAATATCTCTCTTAAAGTACCTAATGAGTTTCAGCAAATGCAGGAAGTATTTGAAAAATAAAACGACAGAAGCCAGACCTTACTTAGCAGCTTACTGTCACTGAGATCATAAAGGTGTTAAAAATGTCTGCAGTAAATTAAACAATTGGTAATAAGCTTTAAAATTTTAATATAAAAAAATACTAATGATTTACTATTTATTATATTTCAAGTAAATCGCGCAAGCTAAAGAATGATGAAGTGATGAAATGTTATTATTAATTAATACTATAACATAGTACTGAAAACTAAACATTAATTTTCTGGAGCTTTGATGAAAATCAATAATCTAATTATGATTTTATATCAATAGTTGTCAATTTAGTTTTTATTAGACTTGCAACGAATTTTCGGTTACTATTCGGTTTTCGGCCTATCCGGCGGCTTTTTTTTTTTCCGGCCGAATACCGAAATTCTCCAATTTTTTCGGCGGAAAAAAAAAACCCCCAAAATTTTTTTTTTTTTTGGGGAAAAATTTTTGGAAAAAAAAAAAAAAAAAAAGGTGGGCCGGTTTTTTTTTTTTTTTTTTTTTTTTTTTTTTTTTTTTTTTTTTTTTGGGGTGGGGTCCTTTTGGGGGGGGCCCCCCCCCGGGGGAAAAATCCCCCCCCCCCCCGGGGGGCACACCCCCCCCCCCCGCGTTTTTTTTCCCCCCCCCCCCCCCCCCCCCCCCCCCCCCCCCCCCCCCCCCTTTTTTTTTTTTGGGGGGGGGTTTTCTTTTTTTTTTGTGGCGCGGGGGGGGGGGGGGGGGGGGGGGGGGGGGGGGGTTTTTTTTCCCCCCCCCCCCCCCCCCTTTTGGGGGGGGGGGGGGGGCCCGCCCGGTCCCCCCCCCCCCCCCCCCCCCCCCCCGCCCCCCCCCCCCCCCCCCCCCCGGGCGGCCCCCCCCCCCCCCCCCCCCCCCCCCCCCCCCCCCCCCCCCCCCCCCTCCCCCCCCCCCCCCCCCCCTCTTCTTTCCCCCTTTCTTTTGGGTGTTTTTTTTTTTTTTTTTTTTCCTAGTTTTTATACATAAAAGGGTTGCACTGATACGACATTTGCTGTATACTTAACTTATTAAAATCTGTCTTTGATACATCAAAGTTTGTTTTTCTACCTTTTGATGTAAATTTTTTAAGTATTTAAGTTAACAGTATAGTATAGTAGTTTTTATATGTATAATCTTATATTCTTTTATGTTCCGTATCAACATCCAGGCGGACGTAAAAACCTAAATAGGTTTGTGATCTGTCTTTTAATATTTATTTGTACCGTTTTTCTTTCATATAAATAAATAAATAAAAAAGTCTGTTATTCAGGCAGACAAAGTTGCAGTGACAACTAGTGAATATATACTCATACCTACTTAGATCTTTTATACTTAGCAACTGAACTGAAAAAAGCAAGGTTCTAAAGGAAACTTGGTTGAGTAAAAATACTTACTTGAAACACCGCATGGCTTCTTGAACTTTCAGCATTGGCATCAGTGGGATGTTGGGTCCTATTTTTATTACCATCCTCCAGCATATTCAGGAGCTCCCTGGCCGTTTTAATTTTATGAAGGGTTAGTCCAGCCACCATCACACCATACTTAGCATCTTCTCGGAGTTGAAGAGCAGTAGTTGATGGTTTTAGGAGATCATATACATTTTCATTGTAGACCTTAAAAATTAAATTAAAATTTGAGACAATCTTTTCTTTATTTAGGTAATTAAACAAAACTAAAATCCTAGAATTAATGAATGTTGAAAGACTACATTTATTTATTCAAGTATGGAAAAGCCTATCATATCATGAAAAATTATAATGCATGCAATAAAAATCATCACAAGTAATCTACATTACAAAGTTATCATACACTCTATATTATTTATCACACTAACTTACTTCAATATATGAAACACCAATATCAAATTCCCTGTCCTTTTCAAATGAGTCAATTGTATAGAACAGATGTTCCATAGTTAAATAAGTAATGCCTGGATTCTCTTGATTCCCAATCATGGTGAAAGTTTTTCCCGCGCCCGTTGCGCCATACACAAACACGGAACAATTATATCCCTCCATTAATGACGCTAAAATATCTTTAGTTGTGGTTTCAAATACATCCTGATTTGTAGCTTCTTGGCCACATACATGGTCGAAAACAAACTTCAGCTCCTTATTAGCACGCTTTAAGAAGTTTTTATTTGGTTGCTGAACGCCTTGATAGAAAAAGGGTCGAGTTTCCTCCTTGGGGTCAAACACTAACATTTTATCATCAACAACGTCGACTACAACACGGTTGTTTAGGTCTTTCTCCTTTTTGTTTAAAGGACGAACCCTGACGACAACTTTGATGTTTGCAGACATGTTTTGAGTTGACCCACTCCTTGAAGGAGCTGTGACTGGCGCCTTTTGCCTGGCTAGGCCAGGACCTTTCTCGACTACTCGATGCACCATTTCAAGTTATCGCGTACACATTAAGCACAACACAGTTCTCATCTAGCTATTACCGGTCTTATTTAACTTTTAAAATAAGTTGCAGTTATTTCTGCTTATTATGAAATTTAAATTATATTAAATATGTCGCAGCCCGTATTCGTTTAGGTTTTGAAATTGAAATTGTTTGAATTTACATAACCGTCATATTTTAAAGTGACAGCCAGTCATAGACAAGAGTTAACGGTGGGCAAGCGTGACGCCATGCAAAGAAACTCGTATAGTCTGTGGATTGGGCATGTAAAACACATTTTGTGTTTTGTATAAAGCAAAATATTTTAAATAATGTTAAAATCAGAATATATAAACTAAATAATTGGTTTATTTTTAAACTTTAATTTTTGTTAAAACTGTTAAGCATAGAAATTTATAAGATCGCATAATTGAATTGACAACTTTCAGCTTTATATTATGCTTTTTTTGCTTAACTTAATTACAATTTTTTTATTTATTATATTATTTTGTTTATGTACGTGCACTTGTGTTTTAATGAAAAATAAATTATTAAACGCCTGAATATTTTTAATAGCAATACGACCAAAAATTAGTTTATATTTATTCCTATTCATAAATTAAATTTAGAAGTAGATCGACAGGTTTATGGCAAGGCGTTGTATATAAGAAACAAATACAATTTCCTCTTAATTTCCGCCGCTGATCTTATCTGGACATAACGAGAGCCTTAGCATTCAGCAGGGACTCCACTAAAACTTCGTTTAAGCCGGAATTTCATCGCGCCCTATTGTGCTTAGTTAGACGAGATTTTCAGCGGACTAACAAAAACATTCAAAATATCGTAGCTAAATTTAAGTAGGTATTATATAATTGCTACAAGATCATGACACAATTATCATAATCACTGATTATATGTATATATTTTTTAATGATCGAGTGGAACAGACACACATGGGGTTCATTGAATGGTAGGTAATATACCCCAGCCTATAGTATCTAAACGAGATGCGTAGTCGGCCTATTTTGTCTTTGGACATTCGAAACTCCACAGACTGAACCGAAACTTCACGGCATTTTGATCTGTGAACGGTGGTTCGTGACCCGAACGGAAGGTATATAGAAAATATTCCTACCGCCCATTTAATATCCAGATTTCCGGATGAAATTATAAATTGAAAAAAATAGAAACATGTTGGAACCGGTCGGACCGGAACGGGTCATGGGCATGGAACCCGCGACCCGTTAATTATTAGCTATACATTGCTACCATTAGACTCGTCGAATTTTTCAAGTCAATGTACAGGAATATGTATTTTAAAACAATAGAATCATTCACTATATGCATATATCATCTTTTCAATCCTAGTTATATTTGGAAGCTAATTAAAATGGTATAATCTATCATTTTCCTTAATTATTTCTGCATACTGCAAGAGTGAAACGGTTAATTAATATATTATGTATCTAAATTATATAACAGCAATGTCGTATCGTGTTATTAGTAGTGAAATATTCATATACCTTTATCTTATATTAATATTTTAAAATTGCACTTTGACACACTTTTTGATACCATTGAAACCTTAGCACGCGTGTGTTTAACATGTTAGACTTTCTCGAAAACCCACAATACCCATGTTTGGGGCCACACCTACGTCTTTTAGGCCTTACCGGTCTTTGGCACCCGATTGTCAATAAAAAAGCCCGCTGCAAATTGGCTATGTTTTACTTGACAACAGCCTTCTTTTTCAGCCAATACTTTAAATGTATCATCTATTTTAATACTAAGTCTCTGAAGCTGATTTTACAGTACATACCCTTTCATATGGGCATTGTTAAGTCGTGCTTTTTTCAGAGACACCATGATCGATGGTCTTACCTGATCGAGCACACAGCTAATATTGAAAGAAGCCAAAGGGGGCATAAAAATATATCACATCGTGTAACAGATTATATAAGACGTAGTCGTCGCATTACTTACTTCTTTTGGGCTCTTGCTTTCTTCTCCAATCTTAGCATTTTTAGTGAGCCGTACCTCAAAAACGAGACTGTGAACGGAACAAGGCTCTATTTATATATCTTCGAAGGTTACACGCCGTTTAGTCGCATCCCACCAGGGTATTACTGTTCCATGGCTGTTCAAACTATTCTTGGGCATTTAGTCAGCGCTTATGTAGTTGGTTGGGACACATGTGTGGTGTCATTGATGATATTTTTCGCTGGACAGCTTAAGATTTTTCGAGTGTACACAAAAGAGGTTATTAATGTAAAGAGTAAAGTGGAGTCTCATAAGAATATTATCAAGTGTCACAACTTTTATTTAAAACTTATCGAGTAAGTGATTCTGTATTTTGTTTTCGAAGCGAGGAAACGCACGTTTTACTAGGTGTCGGTTATAAAATTAAACTAACTGTATTACTATATAATTCAGTTAGTTTTCCTTTCATTATTGTATATAATGATATACGTGTGTTATTCGACACTTGAGGTTTTTTTAATAATTTTGTTTCAGGTATCATACATTGTTCAATTCTCTAATATCACCGGTTATGTTCATATACCTAATAGTAATTTCGGTAAATTTGGGCGTATGTATTATTCAAATAGTGGAGGTATGTTAAAATATAATTTTAAAGAAGTGAATATATTTATCATATAAATTAAAACTTTTAACGGTTCGAAAATAATAACATAATTTACTTACTTCAAAGTACGACATTTACCTGTTTTAAACCGTTAGAAATGATTTATTTAAATGTCTAAGTTATAACGTTCATAAACTACAGAGAATAAATATTTATAACTTACTAAAACTGACCGTGAAACATTTTAACATTATAGATAAAAAATCATTAACTTTAATTACTATTATATAGATTAACCTAATTTGACTAGTTGAAGGACGATTTTGGTGCCCTCCTGTCTGCCTGTCTTTACGTCTTGGCTTGTCTAATTCAGCTCTTACTATTCTATTGGCACAGCAACGAAGTTACTGTTGAGGTAAACACTTCCTTTGATTTTTTAAACCTCTCTTATCAAAGACACAAAGATATATATTGTAATACATGACATAAAGATCCGTCCTTACGAACGTTCCACAGATTATCATTATACAGATTATTCTATAGTGTTTAATATATATTTGAAATTGCATTAAGGTCAAGAGTATTTAGTGTATTTTACAGTTATAATTACTGTTTAAGTAGTTAAGGCGAATAAGATAAATGCATAAATTTGTTAGGTGGTGAACTACGTACCCATTTGATATTCAATATAGTTTAAATTAAAAACAAATGAGTCTGAATTTGCATGTCCTATAAATAAATATACTTAAGCGCTTTCGAATCGTAAAAATTGCATAATATTTTATTCCAAGATCTTTAATTACTATTGTAATGATTAATTATTAATTCCACCGCTTTTTTTCAAGTGGTTTCAGTTAAGTTTTTGTGAATTTCGTTTCAGAGCCTTTTAGTGTCAAATAGCTCATTTAAAACTAATTGGGTTGATGTTGATAATGGGCTCCGAAGAGAAGTCGTCTTGTTAGCTGAAACGACAAATCGAAGACTCGTGTTTACAGCTGGTCCGTTCCACGAAATGTCCATCTCAACATTCATTTCGGTAAATATTAAATATAATGATGGTGATCTACTACAGCAGGAAAGAAGCGGTGGCACGAGATCTCAGCCTATTTTAAGTTAATGTTAATTGCATAATATTTTAAGTCCACTTAAAAAGAATATTAAATGGCCAATTTATTCAAAGCCAAAATAGGGCGACGGCACATCGTATCGTATATGCTAAGCTGGGTTATAACACCTACCATCAAGTGACCCGCATGAAAAAGAAAGAAACCGTTGAAAAATTAAAGAAAGGTCTAACAGTAGCAATGAAAAATCAATAATCACAGAGTCATGGATTGGATTCCCGCTAAGTCTAACAAGTTTTTAAATTCAATTTATATTGTTTCTGAAATATGTTAGTCTTATTAAACTGGATTAAATGAGTGATAGGAATATCGAAATACTGGTTTGGATATTTATAACTGAATTGAATAAATAAGGAATATCTAAAGCCATTATAGGTGGACATGGTGCTACATGAGGTATTTCACCATCACCATCATCAAAACACCATGCTCGTCTGTCCTCATCAGTCATGACGCATTATGTCAATTTATGCTTTGGCAACATGGCGGCTTTTATGAACTCTGTGCTGTTAAAACAAATGTATGTATCTACTTATATAAAATAATAATGACACTGTTTTTCTTTTCCAGATATTACGCAGAAGTTACAGCTTTTTTACACTTCTAAATGAGACAGCTTAGCCCATATAGTTTTTTTGTAATTGTTTAGTAATGAATGTGATAAGTCAGTAAAAACTATATTACACTAGTTTTTTATTGTTAAAAGCTTAAGCTAGACGCCTCGACACTACTGCACAAGCAGGGCAAAAGAAAGTTTGCCGGAGCAGCATGCACAAGTATTAGCTTCTTCGACAAACTTTCTTTTGCCATATGTTTCGACCGATTAGTATTTCAACCAAATTTCATTACTAAAAAAAGGCTTATGTTTGTTATTTTTATAAGATACACATACACACATATGTGTTATATTTCCCCTGTTTCTTCGCTCCTAATGGTCGAAGCGTGTAGTTGATAGTCTAAAGCATTTTAAATAAAACACTGTAACGGTTTAAATAGCGATATATTAGTTAAGCTTATTTGAAAATGATTTTTTTTCGTTGTTTCGGATGCTTTGCAGCAGCCGTGGTCACGGCGAGGGGTGTCCCCGTGACCACGGCTCGCGACCACATACGTTTAACTAATTTATCGCGTTAGACATAAGTTATAGACATTCTAAAGCCTTTCTCGATAAATGCTCTTACACAAAAATACATTTTTTATTCGAATCAGTAGTTTATATCAGGATATAAGCGCGTTCAAAGAAACAAACAAACCCTTCAGATTTAAAATATTATATATATATTACATTCGACATTTCTAGTTCCGCGATGCTTATCGAAATTATCAAAATTGGTAGAAGATTGAATGCGATACAATCAGGTCGGTATTTAACTCCAAGTTCGAGATCGTTCCCAGTTGCCAAGAATCCGAGTCCAAATCGATTACAACTCGAAATTTCACATTAATCGATTCTGATTCAGCGAGTTTTCGATTGAAGCGATCCGATTAAATGTTTGTAGCGTAAGTTGTGTTTGCGTGGCTAGCCCTCATGAGCTATCTGTAATAAAGTTTGCTCAACTGCTACATTAATTGGACCTGTATCCAGTTCCGTCAGCAGGAAAATCCATTAAACTGCTACGCTTTACGCGGGAAATTTAACTTCGAGATTGTTTTTATTGCGTATATATCTACTTTGAGTAAGCTAATGAAAAGTAGTCCCGTAGTCTAAGTTGCAGCTCAATTGTCCATAAGAAGCTATCCTAGTCTGCGATGTAGTTCAGAGGAATTTATTTTATTTTTAAATAAGTTTTATCTTTAGAAAACATTAATATTGGAATTTTATATATTAAGATGGCTCTATATCAATAAAAAATGTAGATTGCGTGATATCAATAGATTGAAAAAAATCACCGATGACGAGTTGGACTCGGTAGCTCAATGGGTAAAAGCATCAGCGCGGAACGTTGTGGATGGCGGTTCAAGTTCTGCCCGAGTAAATTTTATTCAATTTATTATCGATTCTAAGATGTATCTCTTTTAGTTTTAGCTTAAGTACTACTATTATCTAAACTCTTTTACGCAAAATGGTTTTTAAAATACAATGTGTCAATTGATCATTAGTATCAAGTTGCACATTTCTACCCGCTTTTCGGGTCATTACAGTAACCAATTTCGCAACGACAACTCCCAAGTAGCAAATTGCCTGAAAAAAGGTTCTTCACCTCCACGCGGCACCCTCGGTTCCTTGGGTTGTGAATCTATACATATGTATGTTTCCACGAATCGAGAAACCAATAATTCCCCAAGACACTCCACCTAGCAGGAACCAAATAACTCATAACTAGAATACATCAACAGCCAGTTTGCGCAGTCCATACCATCCGAATTAACATATAAATTGTTTTGAATCCGGCATCTACATCCCGTTAAATTATTTCGCGAACTTCCCAAATTTACATGGTAATTGGTAAAACTCAAGATTTGTCGTTGGGCCCGCGGTTGAGGTTACATGAATTTGCGTTAAGTCAACGAGGTAGATAAACATCTGGAGGTGGAGGCTCTCAATGATAACCCCGCGCGCACCGAACTTACCAGAATTACCTGGGTACGATGTCTTTTACTCATGATTTATAAAATTCGGGCTCATTGGCTAACAATCAACTTGTCGTGGGTTGGATCCCCACCAGGTACCAATATTAGATTATTATTTTAATTAAACATGTTTGAAAACAACTTTGAAAAAATTTTTTCAACTCATTGAATCTTAGGTTGGCAGGTATATGTATCAAAAAGTTGAAAAAAAAAATCGACGATGAATTGTAAGACTCGGTAGCTCAATTGGTAGAGCAACAGCACGGAACGCTGTCGATGCCGGTTCAAGTCCTGCCCGGGTCGAAAATTTTTTCAAATTATTTTCGATTTTTAAATGAAACATGTTTGACTTCATTTGAAAATCTGGATTATAAGGTGGTAGGCTTGATTAAATGTATTTTATTTATTTTCTTTCGAACTAATGTTTTTGAATGAGTTATTGCAAGTATATATACTGTCTATAGTTTACGCGAGTAGTACACATTTAAATAAAACACTTTAACGGTTTAAAACGCGATATATTAGTTAAACTTATTGAAAATGATTTAACTTCGGCCCGAAGTTTCGGATGCTTTGCAGCAGCTGTGGTCACGTGGAGACTTAATAAGTCGAAAGTAAATTATTTTCAATAAGTTTAATTAATATATCGCGCTTAAAACCGTTAAAGTGTTTTATTTAAATGCATGTGTATATTTTGATTGAATAACATAATCATGATTCCTTATAAGACTATCTTCCCAATGTAGAACATAGACGAGAAGAATATTCATTTTATTTCTCTGAAATAAAGAACACAAAGCCCGTAGAAGAATTTCTCACTTAAAGCGTTTTGAAGAATGCTGAATTAAAACATCTCGTAAATTTTCCTAAACAATTAAATTTAATGAGTTCAGACTGTCTCGCACCTATTTTTTTCTACCTGATAAGACGTAATAAGTTGATTCGCAGTAATTATGGTAACATCTCAGCTGTAAATAATTATTTAGATATTATTATAAAAAAGTATCACGCAGAACAAATACTCTTCTGAATGTCTATCAGCAGACTATCATTCTGATAATCTATACTAATATTATAAAAATACGAAAGTAACTCGGTCTGTCTATCTGTCTGTCTGTTCGGCTTTAACTCCGAATCTACTGAACTGATTTAAATGAAATTTGGTACACAGATAATCTAGAGCTTGAGGACATAGGACATAGGCTACCACTATCAACCCTATTTTAGTGCCAAAAAAGGAGTTGATAATTTAAATACTTACATTAAGACTGTTACCAAATAGTAAAAATAATTATAATAGATTGTATTGTGTGTTTGTTACCTAATGAGTAAAGTTTATAAAAAGTTGTTTAGTTTTGTTTTAAATACTTATAATAACGTACGCTTAGTTTATTTATAGGTAAACGAATTGCCTAATGTTTAAACATTTTATTGTTTTGTCTTATTTGATTTTCATTTTGTTTAATCGAAGTCGCCAAATATCGCCCTTTGGTTTCAATCAAAAAAATTGTATTACATCGGTTTTGTGTGTCTTTTATCCTATTTCCTAGCAGATATTTGCCCTTATAACTTCATAGGTCAACTTACCCCAGATGAATAGTCAGCCTTCCCCGGGAATGGGGTAGGTTGACCAGATTTTCCTATCATACAAAAACTGGCCTGTACTCATTATGATGATGAATAAGACAGTACATCTAATAATTGCACCTATTTTTAAAATGATGTACTCTATAGAAATAAAAATATAAACTTGGAAAATTGGTGAATCAGCCCCGGTCTCCCCTACGTGTGCCAGGTCAGCTAGTTCTAGATATAAGTTCTCGGTACAATAATTCTACTATTTAAGGCAATGTAAGTTTCTGCGTAACGTCTCACCGTACCATATCTCCTTGTCTCCTCTTGTTTGTTATTTAAATCTGTTATCCAAAGGTACAGGGATTGATAAGGGTCTCGTAACTGTAAATTAGTCTGCCCTACCTCACACTTTATTTAACAGTAATTCCATTAGGGTGTTAAATGCGCCCGTTGTCCTGCTCTTTTCTGGGATACCAGCAGAAAAAACATATGTTTACATAATAGATCACTCATAAGTGAGAGTATATTCGAAAAATTACTCGAATAGAGTTAATTAATGTACTTTACATGAGTTTTTAATAAAACTTTTAACGGTTGAAAACGCGAAATATATTCGTTAACTTATTTGTACCAGCCGCTGTGGTGACTGGAAACATCGGGCCGTAGTTAAAATAATTTCTAAATAGTAACGAATATATGTCGCGTTCTAAAACGTTGAAGTGTTTTTTTTTAATGTGTACTGTTCGCGTAAACTACAGTATTTAAAGTTTATTTTTTTTATTGTTAGTACCTGTAAAATAAGTTTTCTCATTTATTGAATTAACTTTACCCGCGCGGCGTTCGCGTTGGGGCAAATTAAATTTCGTGTAAGAGTTCTTGGAGGCGAAGAGTTGACAGGTGACGAAGGTGTCCAGAAGTCCGGGCTCCGTAATAATAGATTCCTTGAAGAATTCTGACCTCCAGCTTTGCCACGAAATCTCGGGCAAAAACCGGCTACAAAAACTGTTTTTATTACATACCTCTGAAGCTGAAGAATTTGTTGGTAAGATTGAATTTACTGATTTCAAATACTAGTCTGACTTCTAAAATTATTTACGCTAACAGCCTACAAGTTACATATATCATATATCAATTACAAACAACTATTACAAAATATTTAAAAATGAACCTCTTTTAACGGTTTCAAAAGCGAAATATGTTAGTTACATGTAAATTAAAAATTGATTTTATATTGACACACAGCATTCCGTGGTGTTGCTCTAACCAATTGAACTACCGTCTGCCTGAGATAGACTAATTTTTAATTTATTAGTAACTACTATCGTGGCTGGTGCAAAGCATCCTAAACGTCGGGTCGTAGTTGAAATAAAAAAATATATATATTTTATTTTACATCGTTAAAATTGTTTTCTTTTAATGTGCATTAGTCGACTAAAAATATGTTTAGTATTACTAAAACTCCGTAACGTAGATTTAAAAACGAAAAACCACAGACGCTGCATCTTATAAAACTTCAACCCAATTTTTCAAGTCCACCTCTAATCTAATAATACTCGGACACTGAAGTACGGTTGGAAGTACTCTCGGTAGAACTACAATAATTTGAGAGTTCCACGGAACCATAATATTTATTTTCCGTTCCACGTGATATACCACTGCTAACAAACTGCGAGTGATTCCAGGCGGACAGTATCTTTTTTAATACTAGATTTTTATCAGTATTTGTTACAATTACTGTACTACTCTATACTATTTGTAGGTATTTAATATAAAATTGACCTTATACAACATCTATATCAAACAGACAGTACAATTGATCAGGTAAAGAATATTTTTAGGTAAGGTGGTACACAAATTTGATATTGTTTTTCTAGTTTAAAGCAGTTTTAACGGTTTAAAACGCGAAATGTACGAAATAACTTATTTACAATTTATTATAACTACCCGGCCCGACGCGGAGGTTTTGGATGCCTTGCAGCAGCCGTAGTCACGGTGGAACTGAAATAAACGTAAGCACGTAATTGAATAAATTTCAAATAAGTTAAGGGAATACTTTTAATTTAATGCATTTTTTTTTATTTTAATATAATAAATTTGACGGCAAAAAAATAATAAAATCCCCCAATTTTTAAACTGGCCCCCACCACACGCCCGGGCACTACTGTAGCATAATGACTAGTAGAGACTTCTCTCTTTAAACTCAGCTCCCGTGAGCGGTGCTGCGTTTGAAAATTGTTTCGTAATATCGCTTAGCATGACGTCATGGCATGATGCGTCATTCACTCGGTAATCCTAGACAGATCCTCAGTGATCCGGTCAGTACTACAAATTGAAGCACGTCAAGGCTTAAAAGCCCCGAAATTGGAATCTCATCGGTAGCAACACAATTTATCACATCCTAACTATAGTGATAAACGAGCCTTCGAATTCTTATATAGCTTATGTAATTATATAGAATAGAAATAGTTAAGCAGTTCAGTAAAATCTGTAATTGTATTCATTTAAAATCGAACACGCGAATCGCACGAAACTACGACAATAGCATTCAGTGCCGCTGATCTGAAAAGATCTTTTATGTACATGATGTAACAATAATAACGTCTTCGAGTAGATTTATATTAAACTTAAAGTACATTCTTTTCAATAACGCTTTTAACGGTTTAAAAACTTGAAATAACACATTTCGCGTTAAAGCCGTTAAAGATGTTTTATTTAAGTATACTTCACTCGTAAACTACAGACAGCACTTAAGTACGTTGATTTGAAATTATATATTATAAAATTTCTTTATCCTACACCATGATACCTAATAAGTTCTTACTAAGGTAAATGTCTGATACAGTTCAGAGAAATTACAATGTTAAATACTTTTAAATAAAACACTTTAACGGTTTAAAACGCGATATATTAGTTAAACTTATTTGAAAATGATTTTTAACTTCGGCCCGACGTTTCGGATACTTTGCAGCAGCCGTGGTCACGGGGAGACCCGTGACCACGGCTGACCGGTCGCGTAAACTATAGACAGTATTTAACATACTGTCTATAGTTTACGCGAGTAGTACACATTTAAATAAAACACTTTAGCGGTTTAAAACGCGATATGTGAGTTAAACTTATTTAAAACTCGCGTTTTAAACCGTTAGTGTTTTATTTAAATTACAATATTTCTAAGTATCTACTTGTTATTAATAAATATCAAGTAGCTACGAGTATAAGTTATTTATGTCTAGTGAAATACAAAAAATAAAAGTTAACGGTACAAAATATTTAGTGATAAGTATAGAACAAATAATCTAGTGTTTCGAAACCAATCATCGTTATGATTACGTATTAACTTAATTATAGTTGCATATAGTATACATACATTACATGATTAATTGTAAATAATTATATTCATCAGTTATATAAAACTCTATAGTAAATAAACAATTTAGAAAAAAGCCCTCACAATGATTATATAATGGTTTGCACATTTGTTTTCATTTAAAAATAATACAGCCAAAAATGTTCGTAGGGCACAAAGCTGGTAATACACATAAATAACATCTTGGGCTTAAAATTATTTTCAGGCAATTTGTCTGGAAAAGTGTCCCCGGATATAAATGGTTCAACCTTTTTTTAGGGTAACAGATACTGTTCCTAATACCATTTTGTGTAATATTAAATTATTCATTGTAGTGTACCTAACCGTATTTTTTATTTTATTTATTTATATGTATATCCATATTGTATATGACCTGCATATTCAGCATGTTTTTTTGTGAATCCGAAGATTTAATAATTGAATTTTTATCTCGGTGGATTTTTTTTATAACGCCGGACTGCCGGGAAGATGAGTTGTCGAGATACAATTTCCATTTTCTAAAATCCACAGATTGATGGAAGTCGTGAAAAACTTAAGTCCTTGTTAACCACAGTAAAATGAGATTCTTAGTGATGAATATTTAGTAAATTATTTAAATAATTCTATTCGATTAATTTTGAATTTAGAACTACCCTCAATAAATTTTTTAAACGTTTGACGGTATAATCTATGTATTTGAACCAAGTGAATGAGAGATGTTTTTTTCTGCTAAAAAAGGACGATGACACATACGATATTTCAATTGTTCATTGGACCGGCAGAGTTTATAGGCAGGCATCGTCGGTAATAGGGACACAAACATTACCCTTTTAAATTGAATTTCACACAATTTATCAGGCGTGGCCTGATAAAGTATGGCACCTCTCTGCCTACAATAATTCTGTTCGGGGATGTTTGCACATTCAAATTGAAATTTTAAATGTTTGAGGGTTACCGGCGGTCGTAAATAATAATACCTGTAAATATTGAGATGCGAAAATTCATGAACATGCTAATTTATACGACTGCGTTAATATTGATATTTTAAATTGAACAATTACTTAGTTCAATTAATGGAGATCGATATTAATTACGAAGACAGATGGGAATGAAGCCCACAACGGTGATGCAGTGAACCGTCCATCACTCATATAATTATACAAGTGTTGATAAAAAAAAATACAAGAACAAAAACAAACTATGAATGATTTAATTCATTGAGTGTCGTCTATGCAAACTAATGTTCTTACTACAGATTAGTTTAAATTAAATATTCTATTTAAAATAAAAAAGGAAGTTATTTGCTTTATTACATGTTAAATGTAAATAAATTATAAATTAAAGGATCTTGCGATTCTCGGGAAATATTTTCGATTTTATTAGTAAATAAACTAAACTTAGATACAAAAATACCTCTGCCCAACGACACTATGTAGCATGTGGGGGTAACGGGTTTTCACTTGTATTATATTACATGACAAAGACTACAATCGAGTTTATTTAAGTTGCATAGTTTCCTTTAGATATTAAAGTTATAAAATGCTGTGTAGACGTCGGATTTCAAAGAGTTTCGAAACATTGAATGTTCCAGCAGTACAGCGCTCAGAAACTAGTAGTCCAAGTTTGATGAGTTCGACACATGAGCCCGTAAGCTTCGACTTACGCAACACTTGTTCCAATCTACTCAACACATCCCCAGAATTCTTATTTTATTTTTAGTATACAGTGTATAAGTATTTATTCAATATTGCGATCAGATTTACATCTTCTATTTATGTAATAATAAACCATCAATACAATGTATTTTTAATTACATTTACGAAAGTACTGTATGTGTTATAATTTATACATTATTTATGAGCCGGGCATATAGGTCTCGACTTTATTGCAGCAATGTCCCACATTCTGAAAAGCTGAAATATAGGCGTTTATAATATGTTAAATATATGGCCCTGAATGCTGAATATTTAAACGTAGGCATAAAACAACATTTAAAATATAATAACAATGGATTCGGTCATCCAAAACGATGTTCCCGGCGTTCACGTCAGTTCCGCCGGATGCGACGCCATGTTAACATGTCAATGGGCGAGACATTCTATTGGCGACCGCGACACTTGGACGGATTGAAGCGGAAAATGAAAATTGTATTGTATTGATCAAAGATAGAAAATGAGACAGGTTTAATTTGAATTGCAAAAATATAGTACCTTTGTACTACTACTATTTTACACTATTCGATTATTTTCTTTAATAAGTACTTATTATACTCCGCAGCCGAAAGTAATTGCGTCTTTAAGTTTTACTTATCTAATTATTACTATATATGTCGCATTATCGCATCAATCATAAAAAGGAAATTATGAATTTAATGCTTTTAAAAATATTCTTAATGCAATGAAGTTAATAGCACACAAATATAATTATGAATGTGTTGTGAACGCAACCTTTTGAAACTCTAAGGTGACAAGGCTGTGTTATGTCAAACACAGCTGCCAGGTTGTCAAAAAATGTCAGCCAACAAGGAAAGTAACCTTGTTCAGGCTTATATTGAATTAAATAAATTTTGTCAAAGCAGTGATTATGAAAGGGCATTAAAAGCAGCTGGGAAGAGTAAGTTCTATATCATGAAATAAATAACCATGTTTAGTCAGTATTCAGTTGTGCTAACCCCTTTCTATTAGGGGCGCATACATGATATTAGTGTCCAACTTTCCAATATAAGTAACGTACTTATTCATATAACAAACAAATTATACACGACCTGTTGTATTCACCTTTGTCCCAGTTCTAAAATATTCTTATTAACATTAATATATTCCACTATTTTTAACAACAAACACAATTTAGTTCTGCAGGTTTCACCGACTGAACAGAAGGCTTTCCACTGTAAAATAATATGCTACATACAACTTCATAACTTTAAAGAAGCTCTAGCACACTTGAACAACCCCAAGAATGCATCACTTGCAGTGGATTTGCAGTTTGAGAAAGCATATTCACAATACAGGCTTAATTTACCAAAAGAAGCCTTGCAAACTGTTGACAATGCTCCAGAACTAACACCAGCTTTAAAGGAACTCAGGTATGTTAACATTAAATTATTCAATGTTTTAAGTATTGCTGTAATACATCCAATTAAATTAAGAAGGAACTTTGTGGTAAGAGTGTCTTACCGCACTTAAAACAAAATGTGTAAAAAGGGCAACAGAGTGGACATGTGTGAGTTTTTTTTATATGTTGAACTACCTACATATAATTATTTTAAAGTAGATATGAACTGCTTCAATTTTGTATTAAGTTATAAAATCAATAAATATATTCTTCTAGGGCTCAAATTTTATACCGTCTTGAACAATATCAAGATTGCTACAATCTGTACAGAGACATTGTTAAGAATACCACCGATGATTACGAAGATGAAAGGAAGGCAAATATGTCCGCTGTTGTGGCTAATTTGGGAGAAATAAATCCAGTAAGTATTATTACATTATAATTATTTTTAAATCATAGAAATATGATTTGGTTTTGGTCAAATTACTATACTATTACTATACCCAATTTTGTCTTAGTGTCTGTATTACATTACTAAGAATAACCAAGAAAAATCACTTAAGATTTTACTGGCGTAGGAATAATGTATTTACAGTGTATGTCTTAATAAAAAAGAAGAAATAAGATAATTTTAGTTTAGATACCATATGGATCTTGGGTCAAGTCACACTTAGCAATACTTTAAACGTTACAATTTCAATCAGAATGCAGATCTACCTCAGTTTGAAGAAACTACCTACGAACTATCATACAATGTTGGTACAGCACTGGCAATGAGAGGCAAGTATGGTGAAGCCCTCCCTGTGCTGAAGAAAGCTGAGCAAGCCTGTTCTGAGAGTGTTATTGATGATGGTGGTACTGAAGAAGAGGCAAAAGAAGAAGCAGCAATCATTAGGTTAAGATACAATAAAACACTATCTTACCATAGTCTAGTTTACTTAACTAAATTTGTATTTATTTGCAAACAGTTACATAAAAAGTTAATAATACTTTTATCAATAGATCTAGACTGTGCTCAAATAATCTACTGAAATCAATCTTTATATAATATTACAGAGTCCAACAAGCATATTGTCTCCAGCAAGTTGGGAAGGAGAAGGAAGCAGCCAGTATTTACCAGAATGTTTTGAAAGACAAGCCCAGCGACCAAGCACTTGTTGCAATTGCTAGTAACAATTTAGTTGTTATTAATAGGTAAATAATAATAATACTAGTTAGTAATCGCTGAAATAGCATTGCTTTGTATATGTAATAAGTTTTGCCTTTGTGTCAAATCATCAGAACATTTAACTTTTCAATATGAAGGTTTTATACCATAATTATAGCAGAATATCTGCAGGATGGGATCGACATTTTCACGTGCAGCTTGGGTGAATTGACAAAAACATCACTCCATGAAATATTCATGGAGTGATGCATAGACATTGTTCTGTAATAAATTTTTTTTAAATAATAATCCTTTTTATACATTATCTGTGTAAGTCTATTATCTATATTTTCTTTTACTTGATTATTTAACAAACTATTTGTTCTTAATTACTTTTACAGAGATACCAATGTATTTGATTCTCGTAAGCGCATGAAAGCGGCAACTCAAGATGGTTTGGAGCACAAACTAAATTCAAGACAGCGTGGCAAGATCATATACAACCAGGCTGTACTAGCTATTTATTCCAATCAGGTTAGTCTCTTACAAACTCTGTAAAGCTCCTGAGTAAATGAATATACATTGACCACTTAAAATTGCCCTGACATATATATATAATGTAATTTATAACTTAAAAAAAATTACCTGAATTAATAATCGATTTTAGACTATAAATATATGTGACGGGGGTTTATAACTAGTTGAGACACCAAAGCAATTGGTAAGAGCAACAGCACGGAAGACTGTGGATGTCGGTTCGAGTCCTGCCCGTGTCGTAAACATTTTTCAATGTAAAACCGATTTTTAATTCATATAATGCCATCATGTGCAAATGTGAAAATTAAGTTTTCAAAAATAAAATATATGATAGCAAAATTTAGATCTCCAATATTTCAACGTCCTCCTATTTATCCTTCCTAAATTGTCCTCTCAACCAAAATTGATGTTTGTATGTCATTTTCTATTTTATTTTTTTACAATTTCAGCCCGACTTCTGTAAACAATGCTGCGTTAAATTGAGCCGGGAATTTAATGAAGAGCGTCGCGCAGTTCTCGTGGAAGCATCGTCATTGGTGAAGGATGGAAAGAGTCCACAAGCACTGACTTTGCTTCTGAAATACGGAGACACCCTAACCTTAGCGGCTGCGCAAGTTTTATTAGCTCAGGTAGGACAATTTAATAAAGTTAATATGGTTTTGCCATACAACCCTATGCCGAATCTTGTAAACAGACATGACATGTTTACAGCACTATAAATAAAATTTTCTCTTTACCACCTACAATCAAGTACTTTTTGATTAATTATAAAAATAATTTGGTACAATAGTCAGGTACTTAAAACAGTTCATCTGAGTACTACGCATTTAAAATAAATCACGGTTCTCCCTGTGACCAGGACTGCTGCAAATCATCCAAAACGTCGGGCCCCAAGTAAAAAAAGGTTTAACTAATATATTTTACGTTTTTACCCGTTATAGTGTTTTATTTAAACTATAGGTATTTGTCCATATTAATCTTAGTCTTAGTTTATTTATATCATTAAATGTATAATCATAAATGCTAATAAGTTTATATTAATATGTAAACAGGGCGATCGCAAAGCAGCCGTGAAACTTCTAGAAGAGAGCGAGTTCAAGTTCCGTCCGGCAGTCATAGGCGTGTTATGCACACTACTGACCGCTGACAATGAGTACGAGAAGGCGTCTAAGCTGTTCACTGAAGTATACGAACACTTCAAGAATGATGATGAGGTACTTCAAAGTTACCGTGGACTTTATATTAACAACCTTATATTTTCTATCTTCAATCATTTCAATTATAAAGTCGAAGAGTTTGTTTGAGCGCGCTAATCTCAGAACTACTGGTTCGACTTGAAAAATTAATTTTGTATCTGTTAGAACATTTGTCGAGGAAGGCTTTAGGCTATAAAACATTACACAGCGACAAATAGGGGCGAAGAAATAGTGGGAAATCTGGAAAAAAAGGGGAAAAGTATTTTTCAGGGTTTTTGTTGCGTGCGCTGTGAAAGCGGTTTAAGATACCCAAAAAATATGTATTTCAGTGACATTCTTATATTTTAAGATTAACTTGCAAGAATGATGGGCCGCGACCGACGACCTGGTTTAAGGCTATAATTTATAAAGATAAGGAGATTTACAAAAACAACTTTTGATGCCCAAAGTTGCTGGCCCAATATAATCGCTAGTCTTCCATACAATAATAATGTATCAGGAAATATTGACATCGATTTGTTCCAGCAACTTAAAGCGCTGCGTAACATATGGCGTGCGGCAGCTGAGGCGCATACCCGAGCTGGTAATACAGTGGCAGCTGCGCAAGCGCATGAAACACTGGTGCGCGCTGCACCGGGCGATAAGCGGACACTGGCGCGGCTGGTTAAGGCGCTTATACACGAGCCTGAACGTGCTAGGAAACTGGCCGCGAATTTACCTCCAATTACACATCTGGAGGTATTTTTACAAACAGCCCATCTTAAATCCTCCACTATGAGCCCATTAACAGTTCCCACTGCTGGGACTGGAGTCTTCCATGAGGGCCCAGTTACCATAACACACTCAAATATCTTTACTATGCAATACAGATAATTAAATTCTTTCTTTTGACATACTCAAAGGTCTATCTATTTTTTTTTAACTCATTGTATTTTCAGGGTAAAATCGATATTGATGCACTGGAGTCGTCCAAATGGATGATGGGTGCAAAGATTGTGAAGAAAACTGTGCAAAATAAACAGGAACAATCACCTGGGTATGTATTTTATCAATTTGAACTCTAAAATGTTAAGTTGCTGCAAATAAATTACTATTTGTTTGACTAATAATCTCTTACTCCGTCGGCGTCTGGTTATTACTTAAAAGCTATCCGACGCTCTTAAAAATTGAGGTGGAATATTTATGTTATATTGAGTTTTAAGTTAAAGCTTAACATTTCCTACAGTACACCTGGTTCAGAATTGGGCCAAAAGAAGAAAGCTAAACGCAAGCGCAAGACCAAGATCCCACCCACAGCTGATCTATCCAGACCTCCTGATCCGGAAAGGTAAAATACCAAAAAATAAACAGGAAATAAAGTTATATATTGCCTCATATCCCTTAACAGCTGTGCTAATTTGATTGAGCTGTTTTGTATTAGTTTTAATTAATTTAAATAAACAGATGGTTGCCGAAGTACGAGCGCACGGCGTACCGGAAGCGGCGTGGTATCAGACGTGACGTCATCAAGGGCAGTCAAGGCATGACCACCACTGCTGTTGATCAATAGTAAGTGAAAAATTATAATGTCATAGTAATATATATCTTTTTGGCAGGGATACAGACAATCGTGGGCTTCCCTTGATGGAAGATGATATTCTCCAGCCATATAACAAATTATGTTAGTTGCCACCGTCAATAGTCATATATCTTTTTGATAATAACATTTTTTGTCAGATGATTAAAGTACTAAAGTGTGTTTTATAAAATTTCAGTGACATGAGCAAGCAGACACCTAGTGCAACTGCCACAGCAGCTAAGAGTCCTCGCGTTGAAGTCAAGTCGTCTGAGAGCGCTTGGCAGAGGAAACAGCAGCAAAAGAAGAAGGGCAAAGGCCGGAAGTGGTAGAAGCAATAAATCACTTTATATTATTATGACGTCTTTTATTTATTGTTGGATATAAAAAACCTAGAAAATACTTTTAAGGCAATATATTATTTTATACATTCTCATGAGTTTACAAAAAAAATCGAATACAAAATGATTGCTTCGATTTGAAAGCTACTGTTTATAGATTATTTGTCAATAATGTTATACTTTTAAATAAGACACTTTAACGGTTTACAACGCGATATATATTACCATGATCATGGCTGCTGCAAAGCATCTGTAGCCAAGGACAAAGTAAACATAAATTTCAAATAAGTTTAACTAATATATATCGCGTTTTAAACCGTTAAAGTGTTTAACTTAAATTTGTACTACTCAAGTACAAACAGTATTTAATGTTTTACTTTTACAATAAGAATACCGTTTAAAGCAAAACAAGTGTTTACTTGGATCTATCTCTCCCTTGCTTATTCAGGTGGTAAAAATATAAATAGCAGCTTAGTTTCAAATCAATTTATTATTACAATAAACAGTAAAATTATTATTATCTCTTACCACCTTTCCTCTTAGATTTACCTGGTCTCTGATTCTTCTTTTTATTATTAGGTTTAAATTGTTTAGATTTAATGTTGAACGGTTTCTTCTTAGCTGAACTATTAAAGCCATCCATCTGACTCGAAGATTCCCTTGTATTTAATTTGGAGCCCTTCTTTTTCCCACCAAAGCCAAATTTCTGATCTTTCATTGCCCTCCTTTTGTTGACTTTCATGGCATCTTTACCCTTGTTACCTTTACCCTTTTTGTCATCCAAAAAGTCTAGATCAGTTGATTTACCCTTTCTGACTCGTTTTAATTGTTCCAACATATGCTTTTTATCAGCAGCTTGCTTTAGTTTTGTGTCGATCTGGAATCATCATAACAGCATTTAGGTATATAAAAATAACTATTAAAAGAACTTACTTATTGTTTGTAGATTGGTTTTCTCTAGTCTGATTTATTTAGTAATTTTTTTATTATCCAAATATTACATACACTTCATGCTCTTTATTAACATATTGTGGTTGATATAATAAAATAAAATGAAAGTTATACCTGAACTCTCTTTGCAATCTTTTTCTGTTCTCTTAGTTGTCTCACTTTTTCTACCCTCGATTGGGCTGCTTGCTTGGCCATAAGATTCTTTCTGACCTTTTGCATGTGTTCATCTGTCTTTGCCATTTCAGCAAAGTAGTCATCAGGTCTTTAATTAAAAAGGAAAGAGTATAAAGACATCTTTTACATGTCAAAATAAATTTCAAAACAAGTATTTACTTAATCAAGGTACAATCATACATCTCCATATTAACAGCACAATGTATTGCATATATACAAACTGAAAATTGCATATTTATAATAAGTAAAGATAAAAATACTGTACCTTCTAGTTGGTATGTTAAGTTCCTTTAAACGTTTTATGCCATCAAGAACAGCAGCTTGTGCCTGCCGATGTATAAGATTCTCTCTCTTGAACTCATTCAATACTGGGTCACTTGCTGGGTCATATAGTTGCTTACTTTTAGTATTTTCTTGTAAATTTCTACAAAAAAAAAAATTTTTTTTAAATTTATTTTGAATTTCAAACAGAAATTTGCTCTGAGTGAGATGTCAATTTTTTTAATTTTGACTGTAATTCAATTAACTTAACTTGAATTTTGCAAAAAAAGAGCAAAGTTGGTACACTAATTTCAAATTATACCCTTTGTTATTTTCGTATATTTTATGATATTATTATTCTTTGTATTGTAACGTAAATTAGATAAAGAACATTTACTTTCTCCGTTGTGCTGTTTGTTGAATTTGTAATGCTACATCAGGAGCCATTGGGGCTACGCTGGTCACCAAGTCTAAGGTTTCTACCCATGGTAGTTTCAGTTCAAACTCTTTCAATTTCGCTTTCAAGTCTGCGATATTATTAACGTGCCGCTTTTCAACTTTCTCGATTTCTTCATTGATCCCAGGTTTCAATAATCCCTTAGCAAAGGCCTCTTGTAACTGAAAGAATGCGTTTTCGGCTTTATTAATAATACTCTCCCTAATATGCGGTGAACCAATTTAGCTTTTTTTAAGAACTCACCTCTTCATCTGAATCAACATCGCTTTCACTATCATTTAATACAAAATCACTCGTTGTCATCTTTATATTTGTTTTAATCAACTAAGCATGAAATAACCTAAAATAAACTGAGCAAGTAAGTACTAAAATATAACCCTTATGTTGCATGGATTTAAATTTCCTTGTCATTAACCACAGATGTGAATTCATATCACAGATGTATAAGGAAGTTAAACGTTTGTGAACTTAACATTAACTAGCAGCTACAATATAATTTATCGTCCATTGTAATATTATAAAAATAATTACAATATAATTTAAAATTTCCTTTTTTCTATAGTTTTTTTAACATTATAATTACAATAAAAGTGTCTTCAATAACATCACTCAAAAATAATATTTTCTTATTACACTCGAGTCTAACTGCTAGGTGTAGTTAATGTGTTAACTTGTTTTAAGATTTTTTTTACTAAAATTTAGAAATAATCTTGGCGATCAGATTTTAAAATGTTATGGTGTATATTTATCATCGATTAAAAACGCTGTTATTTTATATTCGCTTTCTTGATACCATATCTGTGGTTAAATTTGTCATAGTCTGTAAATAATGCGTGTAACATTTACGATCTGTATTTTAGTATATAGAATAAATATATAACTATTCTGTTCTAGATTAAAGCAAATATTAGACCATAAACAAAATATTTATGTAGATTAAAAAAAACAGGTTTTGTCTTTGGATAGTATAGTCAATAGGTAATTCATTAAATTACAATAATAAAAAAATATATTACTCGTTATTTATTTCATGTTATATACAAATAAATATCCTTTTAATTATACAATGCATTAAAAAATAAATTTAATAACGTTTCTTAGATAAATATTAACGTATTGAAGAAAAATAAAATACAAATTTGACCGGAAGTCGCCACTACTTCATTTTCTTCCATGAAACCCCCCGTTGTTTTGTATCACGAAAATGCAATGGCCGCCATCTTCGAGTCTTGTGAATGTTTTGGTCGTAGTTACTTACTCTGAGGCGTTTTTAATTTGTGATATGAAAATATTTGACGGAAATTGATTGACTACAACGTAGAAGATTTAATTTTAATTGTAGAAAGGTTAGTAGTATACTTAATTTCCTTTTTATGTGAAAATGTTTACATCTGGATTTCTGTGTAATATCCTATTGTGTGCCTTAAAAATAGTTTTATAAATACTTAAATACTGAGGAATATTGTAAAACATTGCATTAATCAAGATTCTCATATGATTTTACAGCAGAAATTCTCGATCGTAGTTGATACCTCATTTTCTTATTATAATTACTTATTCGTCGCTTTCTTTGTTAGTACTTTATTTAAAATTGTTTTACCAATTCAAATAGTGCGACAATGTAATACATTCCAAATGCATTTTAAAGAAATTTGTCGGTTTAGGTTAGTGTTTACTTTTTTGATGTTTGGAGACATTACAGTTTTCGTGCCACAATAATGGCGGCACTATATTTTAACCTATCTTCATAATTTACTGAATTTCGCTTATTTCTTGTGCCTTTTTACATTTGATTTTCCTATGATCCGTCGTATTTTCTCGTAGGAAGCGAAAAAATGTGACTTTTGAAACTAAATAAGGGACATCGACTTACATGGTCATGTACCTATAGGAGGATTAAACATAATGCCCCGAAAATAATATGCATTCAGCGTTTAATTGTGGAGATATTGACGGCGCAAGGATAAATATTCAATTTTCGATTACAGTCGCTTTAAATTACTGGGAGGCCAGGGTGCTCTCCAGTGCATCATCTAGGGTTTAACCCAAGATGGTATTCTCAGAATGTCAGCTACATCGGAATATGAATCTGTGGCCCGCCAAGTGAGTAAAATCTAAAACAAGAAAACATTTACATTAGCTAATATAAAAGCAATACTATGCTTCACACCCTCCACAACTTACAATTCTTAAATAACTTCCTTAGATCATTCTGTAATGTTTTAGTCCCCATTATGTTATTGTTCTATTCACCATGTTATTATCTACATTAAATATATGTAGTTGCATATGTTCATGATCTCATTAACCTTGGTTTCATTACACTAATGTTACAGCTGTATTAAGTATTTAAATACCTTTTAAAAATGAATCGGTGCTGAAGCATGAAGATTTTTAAATAAAGACTTATAATTAGATGTTGTATTATTGAATCCCTTAATTCTAAGTTCATCTTACAGTCTTGGTAAGTTGTTAGAATGAAAGTAACAAAAAAAAATGCATGTGTTATGGAATATGATTATATGTATATTTTAAATGACCATTATTGCAAGTTCTACATTATATATCCTAATTCTGTAATACCTATTATACAGCCATAATTAACATTATATAATAAATTGTTTCAGAGTTACGGGCCGACCGCCTCCAGTGAAAGCATCTTTGATCATATTTTGGAATCAAAAGTAATTAATAATATGGATATACAAAGCATTCGAACACCTGTTTTAAGGGCTGTTCCCTTATCTAGTAATGATGATGATCCAGAACCAGATTCTACTAACCATGATAGTATTATCAAGTCCGCTCGTAAAGAAGAACGAGAAATTGAATTTCATAAAAGTGATAAAGTATGTGAAGGAGAGATGTCAGTAGATTCCCTTCCTAGAATTGTAAGAATTGAAGAGACAAATATTGAAAATGTGGGACATATTACATATCCCATATTACATGATGATGATAATGGCAATGTTAATTATGTAGAGAACACTGCAACATTTATTCAGGCACCGCTTAATAGTGCTATTGTTCAAAATGTTACAAAATTGTCTCAAAACTTTACAATCAATGTTGATGCGGCAGTCAGCAATATAACTGCTCTACAGAATGTCTCCCAAGATTGTAACCAAACATTGTGGCTGCCTACAATTTTAGCAACTAGTGCCCAAACAGATAACAAAACTGATGGTGATAGGTCACCAGGGTTATCACAGATTATCATTACAAGTGAAAGTTATGTTGCTGAACCTAACCCACGAAGGGCAAACATAATTGAGGCAAACTACACAAATCGCCCCAAAAACTCCAAAGTGCAGATTTTGAGCAATATATCAATACCTAAAAATGCAAATTATTCTCCACAGTATATAGCACAGACCAAGGATATTGCAACACCTGTCTTTGGGGCACAAAATCATGTATATAAGCTAAGCACTAATGTTGTATCACAGAAACATTTAAATAATTCTGTACTTTGCACCAAACCAGCTAAAACTCAGTCACTCATTGGTGGAGCGACTCTGTCACCTACAATAGTGAATACCAGTCCTGTAAAAAATGTTTCATATGGACACACATTGACCAAAAGTTTGGGCAAAGTTAATAATGGTGCTAATCTTAACACTATAGTTGCTGCAACACCTAATAGTATGCAATGTCACATTTTGTCTCGAGTTGTTTCAGGGCCTAATAAAGTGTCAGTACACTCTGGAAAGAAATCTGTCAATACAGTTCGAGGCAAAAATAACCAAATTCAGAAGAATCAATCTAGACCAATTAAAATTATACAGCAGGCTGGAACTGCTAATAAAACGGAGAGTAAGACCTGGCCTGTGGCCAGTGTGACCTACAAACCAGCATCAAATTTTGTTGAAACAAATACTTCAAAGGTCATTCAGAAAGTTGGAAGCCCAAAAAATCAACAGCCATTAAAGGTGCAAAAAACTGAGCGTGTAGTTCTACAATCTCCATGTGGACCAGTGTTATTAACTACAGCACCCCTGGCTACTAGTTTGCCTAAAGGGCCGCATTATGTTCAGTCTGGGGCTACACCTAATCTTCGATATGTTCAAACATATGGACAGGATAATCAACTATCTACCATATCGCAAGTCTCTGCTAATCAACAATTGACTGCACAGATCTTGCAGTCTTTGTCTCAACCTAAGCTGATGCTACAGAGTCCAATACCAATTAAAAAGAATAATATTCTTTCATCACCACAACCTACAGAAGACCTTGCTGAAATAAAACCAGTAAATCAGAAAAGAATAGTTTTGTAAGTTACTTTATTAGTGGATTAATTATTCTATCGGGGACACCTTCGGCAGGACGGGTGATATTGTGGTTTTGTTATAGGTATAAATATTGGAAACTAATTTTTCCATTTTATTTACAGTGGGGATAAATCAACTTTACTCACGGCAGATGATATTATTGGTACTGAAGAGAGACCTAACTTGGCTGAAGAACTGCGTAGATACTCGCATCAATCATTGGCATTTGTTATGCTGGACCATACCTATGCCTTGCCGGTTGAAAAGCAACCTGTTGTCTCCTCACCAACAAGTATTTCTATAACAAATGTTTCTTCAAATGCCACAGCCAGTGTAACAACACCGCAAGCTATTATAAGCCCTATAATAATGACATCAGCGACACCAATAAGTCCTTTAAAAACTTCATTACCCGTTACTACCACATCATTCGATCTCGCGCTCGCCACTGTTATACCGACCGCTCCAATAACAGTTCCACAACCAGCGCAAACTTTACCATTAAACACTATGACTTATAAACCACAAACTCAGGAAGAGGATGCTGCCTCTGTAATTTCATCAATTGAAGGTGAAAGGAGACCTCCTGAACAAGGTGGAAGTGACACTGAGACTGCTCCTGAAGGAGAAGAAGAAGGAAAGACTAGATGTATATGTGACTTCACACATGACGATGGATATATGATATGTTGCGACCGATGTGGAGAATGGCAGCATGTCGACTGCATGGGAATTGACAGAAACAATATACCTGATGCCTATATGTGTGAACTTTGCCAGCCTCGTGCTATAGATCGTCGTCACGCTCGTGCCATACAATTAAGAAAACGGGAAGAACTGAGTGCCTTGGGAGCATCCGATTCTGACACGCCAGAATATACAAAACTTCCAGGACAAAGGCGCAAGAGATTATTGACAGTTACAACGTATACAAACACTAGTGGCAGTTGTGTTACTACATATAATTCGAATATACCTGTGTTACCACCTTTACCTCAGCCATCGTTACCTCCTATGCCACCTAAAAGAGGACCGAACAAGCGACCGAAAAAGGAAATGGTGAGAAAGGTCACAAAGAGGAAACTGACTGAAAAACGTGTAAAACGTAAGAAAGAATTAATGCTTAGCAGAAATAAATACAATTCAACTGTACCCAACAACCAATCTCATTGGCGAGATCTATATGAAGTGGCTATGACTAATCATTACAGTCCCGAATTGCGAGCAAAAATAATGAAATACAGCAGTAAACTGGGAAACACATCAAATATGGCTTCTGCAATTACGGCTCATTTATGTACAACTGTTCCACATGCGGGTGGAAAAATATTGATAGCCACTAAGGACCTTAAAGAGAACACTCCAATAATCGAACTTAGGGGCAAATATATGTTATCAAATCAACATAGACCCCAAATACAAAATTCGGCGCGTGCGAGTAGTCAGAAACCAGGCCCATTTGTTTTCTTTTACAGACTTCCAAAGGATAACACACAGATTTGTATAGACACTAGAACATACGGAAATGAAGCGAGATTTGTTCGCCGGTCTTGCAAGCCCAATGCAGAACTACAACATTGTATTGTAAAAGGAGCTTTACATGTGTATTTGGCCACCATTAGTGTAATTCAATCAAATACTGAAATAACTGTTGGCCATGACTCTGATAGTAGTAAGCAGCCATGTGCTTGTGGCAATCCTAAACACTGCAAAGTGAATGTCTTAAGTCCTAATTCAGTGCCCCCTCGGAAGAGTTTCGACCTCCCTCCAAGAGAAAAACGTAGTCGCAATAGGTGCTACAGTTCATCGTCACCATTATCTCCTCCATTGTCATCAATATTGAACACACCTACTAAGGATATTCCTCTGCCATTAAAACCAGAGTCACCAATAATAAAGCAAGAAAAGAAGTCTCCTATTAAGCATGAATTACCACCTATGTCTCCTGTGAAAGAACCTATTCTTTCACCTGAGTATTTTGAATGTAGTAAACTAGATTTGTCTGTTAAAAAAGAAGAGTTCCAAGAAATCGATTTGACTGCCAAAGAAGAAATGAAGTCAGATTTGGATGAACCAGATTTTTGTAAAGTTGAGCCAACAAATGAAGATAAGCCTATAACCACACATATAACTGAAACACCTAAAAAGTCAGATGAAGTTGAGCCGGGGTATGAGGATAAGAAACCAGTGTTCGAAATCTTGGAAGCTAAACAAGAAAACAAATTGCCCTCTTTCTTTGCAAAAATGGAAGAACTCAATGAGTTAAAAATTGAACAGCCTAAAGTAGAGGAGCTTGAAGAGCCCACTATTGAACCACCCAAAGTGGAACTTCCACCAACACCGGAGCCGGAACCAGTGAAAATAGAAGAAAAACCAAAACTGGAAATTAAAACAGAAGGCGAAAATAAATTAACTAAAGAAGTGACTCCTAAGTCAGCTTGTCATGACAGGTCTTCAAGGTCAAGTCGGACAACATGTGTTAACCAAGATTCACTTGATGATAAAACAGATGATTCACAAGATAAAATGCCGAATCCAACTGGCAAAGAAAAAAGGAAAATGGTAATGTTGAATTGACTGTTTTTATTTTGTTTCAATTCTCTGTATTACTTTTATTAATGTTATATTAATTTTGTAGACTCGTGAAGAACGTAAAATGGAGGCAATAATGAAAGCTTTTGAAAGAATGGAAAGGGCAGAGCAGAGAAAACAAGAAGTAAAAGAAAGACAAAAGAGAAGAGAGTCTGATCCACATCCACACAACTTTGTTGATAAGGAGGATGATGATGATACTCATAATAATAGTTTTAAGAAGCGAAAACGGTATGTGAAATTATATCCGTGAATATATTTTTCATTATATATTTTCTTTAATGAAATTAATTGAAATATCCTCTTTCCAGTCGCAAGGGCCGCGCTCGCACTACATCACAATCGAATCGTAGAAGATTAAATTCAGCGGACAGTGATCTTGTTACGTCTGGAGACGAAGCTCAACCGTTTTCTCCACCTCACGAACCATCTAGAAATGAATCTGCAACAAATGTTTATGAAGACAAGACACCAGAACTGGTGCCAGATGTAAGTAAAATGTCTACCATTGCGCTGTTCTTAAATTTCAAATCAAATGGAAAATAAACAAATACGCATACTACTTTATGCATACTACATAATAATTTTATTTAACTAACAATTATATAGAATTATTAATAATTACAGGTTGTAATTGAGTACTTACTAAATACCAATGTAGAAAGAAGAATCACGTGAATCTCTATATAAACTAATATATTAAATTTTTACAGAATCTCGGATTAAGTTCAGCATGTCTTCTAGTTGAAGCTGCGGTAGGTTCAGTAGAATCTGCTTTTAAACAACCAAAAACTAAGAAAACTATGGCTAATGAGTGGATCGGTCGCTCACCAGAAAGAACTCCATCCCCATACAATTCACCATATAGGCCTTCTTTAGTTGCTGCTACTTCTTTAGAAAGTTTAGTACAGGTCGCATCGACAATAATCGGTGACCTTAGTGGAAACCAAGATTATCATGAAGAAGAACATGTCCCATCACCACCTACAACACCTGGCAGAGATAGAAATAAGCCTCCAAAAAAAGCTAAGAGAGTCACAAGAAGTACACCAGCAGTAGAGACCACCGAATTACCTATGAACCACAGCGCTAAGAAAAGATGGTTAAGGCAAGCTATAAGTGAAGAAAGTGACTCCCCGTGTGCAGGTATTTTGAATTGCTATAGATACCTTATAAATTTACTAGTGAATGGATTACTATGTTAAATGTAGACACATTTGTTTCAGAATCTCCGCCTAATGAAATGGTAACCCCATTAAAGAAACGAAGAATGGCTAGAGAATCATTATCATGTGACCAAAACCCTCATGATACTGTAAGTATTTTTTACGGTTACAGTTTACGGAATACAGGGTTTGGTTGATTTGTATTTTAATTATCATCATTCATTTCTTGTGTCTTTTTTAGTGTAATGATGAGGTATTAACTTCCGAAGATTCACCGGTAAAAGAAGACTCGCTGGCGTTAGCTCGTCAATATAAGAGGAATATAATGGATATGTACGCTAGAGATAGAACAAGGTCAGATAGTGGGCAAGGATCTGATGATCAGTGCAATATCGACCACGACGTTCTTAATGTTAATCTAAGGGGACCGCATAATACTGAACATATAAGAAGAATAATTGGGGTTCCAGATGATATACCAGAAGTACCTAAAGTAAACATCCCCATATACAACAATAACAACTTAGAACTTGAAGATACCAACAACAAGGTTGTACCAATGGAGATTGATACTACAGTTATAACCCAGTCAAAAATAGAGTCTAATGAAATACACACAGAGATCAAAGGCATTGAGAGCCCAAGTGAGAAAATACAGAGTTCACAATCTGCAGACACAAGTGGCAACTCTTCGCCGCAACGCGACGAAATGGATGACATTCAGAAGAAAATACATTCATTTCACACAGAAAACATACAAATACTAAAGAGCAGGAATAAAAAACCTCCAAAGGAGAAACGGAAGAAGGTCAATTTAAATTTCGATCTTAACATGGTCGACGATCAAATAAGTATACAACTCCGTACTGACGATAGCAGCAAAGCTGATATTAACGGTGATATACACGATGACACCAATTCACACGAGGACATGAAAATGCTCGTATCACCGGAAAATATACCTCTACCTCCAGTCGAATCTATACCGCTGCCCGCGCCCGAAACAATACCTTTGCCAGAAGAGACAGATCCTATGCCGATTGTACCTCCCCCGGAAACTATACCACTACCAGAAGAACCGATGAATCCGACCACTCCACTACAAACCTGTCCGGAGTCGCCTACGAAACCATCAGAACAGGACGCAGAACAACCGTCTGTTCTAGAATCCACTGTGCCCTTTTCTACGCGTTTCAGTTCTACTGGCTTGTTCTCGGGCATTTTTAGCAATATGTCTCACTCGTTCAAGGTCGACTCGCCCATCAATGAAAATATACCAAATATGTCATTAATAAAAAGTGCAATAGATAGGACTACAAGTTTAGACTCTAGTATATTCGATAAGGATAGTATTACGCCCGTGGACGAACTGAAAAGTGTCCAGGAAATATTGACGCGAGTGAATAATATGGACTCAAATAACAGTGTGTTGTTGTCGGGGGTTCTGAAGAGTTCGAATAAGGAGAGTTTGTTGGGTGAGCCTGCGCCGGCGGTGTCCCCTGCGCGCCCCAACAAGCCCTACTGTCCGCGCACCAACGACCCCCGTCTCAATCCTCCGCCAGTAGACAAACCTAAACCAGTCAGAAGAAAGGTATGTTTTTATTCACACATTTCGTAATTAATTAATAAATAATTCTATTCCTATCGAGGCTAACGTCCATTTCACCTGTGACGCTTCTATGAAATTAAAGTAAATTTTAGCGCCCAGCTACCCTCACTTAAAATGGCGTGTGAGGGTAGCGAGTGATATTTCTGTAAAATTGAATGATTCTTTCACTCATTCAATTTAACATGTGAAAAACTCATTTCTCCTAAGAATTTTCTACTATTTCTCATAATAAATATTGTAAAGTATGAAATGCTAGGCAGAAAAACAAACCAATTTGGTTTAAACTTTTAATCAACAATATTCGTAACAGTATAAGCAATTATATTCGGCCGAATACCGAATATAAAAATGTTATAGGCAAAAAAACAAACCAATGGAAGAATAACGAATACTTAAATAATATTTATAATATATTTTGTCAAGAGAAATAATTGGTAAAATGAAAAATTAAAATCGATTGCTTACGTATATATTCATATTTTTATTTCTGTTATTCATACAAAAAGTAATTGGTACTAAATACGATACGTTAGAACAAAACAAAGGGGCGCGAAACAATCACGTCCATTGGAGCAAAAACCCAGCCGAATATTTTGCCATATTCGACTATTCGGTCAGGGGTCTCCCCCAAAATTCGGTTTTTGGTTTTTTGGGGCAGATTTACAAATTGTTCAATTAACAGTTACAATGAACAAAACCTTACATTTCCACAGATGTGACAAATTGTTCAATTAACATTTTGATTGAAATTCTTATGTAATGCATATGCGAAGGTGTTATGTTTCAACAAGGTTTTATCAGATCCGTGTTAGCTTGATGATTGATAAGGCTGGAGATATGCATCAAGTACATGCTTATATTTCAACACAACTGGGACAGTTTGTGTTTATGTATGCACGGAAATTTCTTTACAGATGTTGTCTTATTTATAAATTATATTGCTTTTACATTGTAAAATTTGGTTTACTACTAAACTCTTCTTCTTAGAGAATTTTGGTTTACTACTAAACTCTTCTTCTTAGATAATTATGGTTTACTACTAATTCTTCTTCTTAGATAATTTTGGTTTATTATCTAGAAATATCAATCAGAAACCTTTACCATTTGTTATTGTTATTATTATTATTTTCTATCGGGGATTGCTATGGGTAACAGGCCTGGTGATCAGTCCACACCATCAGCTGACCAGTGCACCCATTTCCCCATCCATTTGTTAATCTAGCGTTATAAACAAAATACTGGTCATGAAGTTAAAGGTTGATCCGTTGAATCATCCATGGAAAATGTTTTTGACTTTTACATTCTGGTAAGATAGAATACTAATCCCAGATGTGGCAATCCAAAGTACCGGATGATGAATGTATTATCACTGCGATTTTTATGATTAATGTTTTATCTCCTAGCTCTCTATAACCGAGTACCGTAAACGGCACAAAGGCGCTACCACATCAGACGACACCCCAAGTGCAGAGGGTGGCGAGGGTTGCCCAGGGCCGGAGTGGTCTTCCGGTTCCACCAACTCCTCGGGGTCGGCTTCGCTGTCTCCGCAGCGGCTGGAGGCTGCGGCGGCGGCCGCGACTGATGAACTAGAGCAGCGTCTACAAAAGGATCTCTCCTCTCACATGCCTAAAGGTATTTATGAGAGCTCTCAGCATTCGTTATGCTTATTTGATCTACAGGATCAAGTACTGTCTTAGTGTAAAACATTCAGTCAGACATATTACTGTGTCCGTTTTACAGATAGAACTCAATACTCGTGAGTACACGATGCTTTTGCGGGAATTGTAATTTAATAGATTTTGAATTTAAAAAGTAAAGATTGAAGAAATCTTCCTTTTAAAATGATATAAAATAAATATGTTAATTAAATCTACATGTAAATTGTTAATTAAAAAAAGAAAAAAAGTACGACTCTAGCAGGACTGGCATCCCGTGCAATAACATATTGTGCAAAATAATAAAGTTTTCAAATGTAAAGTGTTTAATACAATTATCGTTACACACTTGATACTCTGCAATAGTAATTAGTGATAATTGCTAAGTGGCTTGTCAGTCTGCCAATCAAGGCGTAAATGTTGTGCACAACGCTCACGCAACTTCCTCGGCGATTAAAACGTGATTACGGAGTATATCCGGGCTGTACAATATAAGATACAAATAGCCTAAGACAAAAGTTCAAATCCAGGAGTATTCAAACTACGTGCTTGGTTGTAACAAATTATTATCTTATTTATTGGGGACACGAATGCTGTCAGCCAAGCGAAATAACGTCACGACTATAAGCTCCATTGTAAAACTACTCATTGACATCCTTATTGTTCGTTTTATGCAAATGACGCGTAGCAGGGCTCTGAAGGTCAAAATGTACCAACTGCGCAGTATATTGTACCACTACCAGTTATTTAAAACTCAGTTCATAGAGGAAACTCCGAAAGGCAAGGTTTTTATGCCATCGAAAGAAATAGACAGAACAAGAATTTTTATATATACAAAAGGCATCAGTTAAAAATCTACTATAATAACTAATAGAACTACTTCCGAAATATTTATTGGTCAACTTGTTTAAAAAACTTGACCCGACGATTTGTCAGTTCAGTCATCTAGTGACCTACTGTTGTAAAGCTGGGCCATAGTTAAAAATAACAAGTTAATCAATGCACAAATATTGTTAATATGTTCACTTTTTATATCTTCAACATTTATGTATTTTTTAACATGTCTATTGTATCTATTAAAATGTGTTAGACATTTTATATTATATACATTATTATCAGCGCGCTATAAGAATATACACAGCTGCATATTTAAAACGAATAACATAAGAATGCCGTCTCAAGCGATGGTGCACAAGAAAATTGATTGGTCTGAGTGCAGATTAATTTAAATAATTACGGACGGACGGACAGATCCGTTTTATATAGTGATAATTGATACTGGCAGTTTAGTCGTTAACGCGAATTGGTGGCGTCCTGGCTGCACGAGCTGCTAGCGGTTCTATTTTTAAATGCATCTTAGGAATCTATCGCGATACGTATTAGGTGCTCGCGTGATTCACAGATGTTTTATCAATTAAAAATTATTGAAAATGAGATTGAATTTTCAATGCCACTTGTAGGGAAAATACTTATAAGGAAAAGAAAAGTTCAAAGTAATATTTCCCGCATCCAAGCGGCTTAAATTTGAAAAATAACATATTCATTTCGTTTAAATAAAACACTTTAACGGTTTAAAACGCGATATACTTACGCGGTATTAGTTAAACTTATTTGAAAATGATTTTTAACTTCGGCCCGACGTTTCGGATGCTTTGCAGCAGCCGTGACCACGGCTATATCGCGTTTTAAACAGTTAAAGTGTTTTATTTAAATGTGTACTACTCGCGTAAACTATAGACATTCATATCGATTTAATTAAAAATATGCAAATGCTTCTTTATCTCAATGGTTAAAGCCAAACGTTATACGTCTAACTACAGGTCCTGTGTTCAAAACTTGAAAGAACAATACGTTGTTTCGGTCGGAGCAATAAATGGATACAGAAATCGTCCCATGCCCCACTGGGATTTCAACACGCTCTTTCTGGTTTTCGGTAAAATGACGGGATCTATTTAAAAGAAGATACAAATATTTTATTAATCCAGTAATAAAATACCTCTCCAAGCGATTAAAGGCCAACCACACATTAATATTACTTAACATTTAGTTGATGCGTAGTTATGCTGTGTTATAAAGACATTACGGCAGCTGTGCGCCACAAATGTTTTAAAATGACCTTGACCACTCGTAGTGTCGAATATTTGAATCTACATGAAATCCGGATTTACGGTAACTGCGGGTCTTTTGCGAATCCATGGCTGCTGCCAAGTAACTACTATCGCGTATTAAACCGTTACAGGTGTTTTATTTACCCGTTTAAAATACAGACAGTGCTACATTTTTGGAGTGGTTGTAGAGATTGTATACAAATAATCATTTTTGGTTTTCACTAGGGATCTTTTAGTAAATAGTTTGTAATAAATAAAAGATTTTTATATATAGACAAATAAACCTTTTTACCTTGCCCAAAATTATTGTTTTCCTGGTATTCAAACCTAAGACCTCCCCATTGATATGGCCCATTAACTACGAATATATATTGCTATTTGTAATCCCTATTTCTATTAGACGGGATACAAAACTATAACATTTGAGACTATAAGAAGCTGCTAGAGGCAGAGTGGCTTAACTGTAATTTTATGATTTATGACTTATTTATAAGTACTTTAAAAAGCTATAATCTAAATTCAAAGCATTGTTGTTTCTGTCCCACCTTCTTTTCTTCTTTTATCTCAGTAATATTTACCAGAAATAGTGTATTTACAATCCTTTCAACAATTTCAGGTGTCTTCGATGCACAGCCTACAGCGTCAGAACGCCAACGCGAGAACCTCAGCTCGAGGCTCCGAAGGGAGTTTGGGCTGGCTCTGCCTGATGATGAGGAGGCGCGGTCTGCCACTGACGCATCAGGTGAGTGTCTTATTTTGATGTTTTGTTAGATGATTTTATGTTCGAATTTGTCTCGATTGACCTACGTAATCTATTGATCTATTTAGACATGTTTCTCCCCCCCAACCTTGTCTGGCCAATCGTATAACACCTGTTTTGACGTTCCAGATATCGTGGAGGGCGCAAAGCGATGCGAGAGGTAGAGGCGACGGGCGCACACAAGATAAGATAATATTTTTGTAAATCTCACAATTCGCTTGAATGTAATGTAATATAAATTATTTTAACGTTTTTTAACGAATCGTGCGCGAGGGCGTTGTACATTTCAGTTTCGTCTCTTCGATTTGTTTACCTTCACGATTTCTCTGCAAGTACAAATTGTTTTTATTTTCCCACTTGTACATAGTGTATATAGGCTGTAAGTCGTAAGGGCCCGTGTGTAACGGCATAGGAAAGATTTTTTTATATATGTACAATGTTTATGTATCTGATCGATATGTTTATTTATTTGGTAGCGCGTCCTAGGGTACGTCGGCTAGGTTTTTGTACGCATAATGAGTAAGTAAATTATAGTTGTTTTTATTGTTTTATTTTTTTAGGCTATACAGTGGGCGCGTGGCCCCCTAGGTGTCTAGGTGTAGTGATTAGCAGATTAGACGTCAATATAAATTCACATAAGCCATTCTTAGAGGTTACATCGACGTGTCATAATTAGGGGAGCTTGGCTGCGAACTTCATCACAAGTATATTTATTTATTCTCCAAGAGCATAATATCAACTTACCCTAACAAATAGACAAATTTACAATGGTCCTCGACCTTAGTGTCACTATCAGAGAGGTATTGTTCTATCTTAATTTTATTTTTCACCCATTTTATTGCGAAACTAAAAAATACAACGAATAAATGTTGTGTCAGGCTAAGCGATCTCATAAAGTGTATCTTATTCACCGTATTTCCTTCTGTGAACATTTTCGAGGATAAATCTCGATCCGTTGCCAATAATTCGTCTGTGTGTCTAGTAATAGTATTTTTCCCAGTGGATTCCGAGGATTTTCCGTTTCTGTCACAATTTTTCGTCTAGTCTTAAGTCTGGTAACTATATTGTGAAATAGTGTAAAATTCATGCAGCTTCTATGACCACAGTATATTTTTGTAGCGACACAGATCTTGGCGGTCTTTAGTTTTAATGCATTACAAAACTAAAACGAGATATCCAAAAAAAAAAATATTTGGACCTTTAATTTTAGCGTCTTAGGTACACAACTAAACTATCTAATCAAACTCCAATAGCATAACAGAGACCCTAAGATCCGTGGCCCATACTGAAACTAAGTATAAATCAAATAATACATACAACATTTGATTCTAGCACAATTATTGAAATGTGTTCCAGGTAGCTAATCAGATGGATAAACGTATAATTTTCATTTGTGATCGAATGAGCGAAATTCTCGATCCTAAATTGCGCATGTGCACGCGATAATATAAAATAGTGGCGTATGGAATTGTGTGAATAAGTGCTGTTTATTTTTAATTTTTCGTAGTTCAACTACAACACACCAGTGGTTAAGATAAGAATTTAACGCCTGCTCAAATTCGCGATCATCAAATGCATAACAGGCAGACGTTTTACACCGAAATTTAAAGTTTCAATGATTTCTTACCGCCTAGTTATTTTTTAGGCAATTCTATACAAATTGTTAATAAATTCGCACTTACCAGTTCTTTATCAGCAATAGGCGACTACCCGATTGAAAATGTGCGAACATTTCTGCACAAACTTGTAAAATATTCTTATTTTCGATTTTTAAAATAAATAATACAAATCTATACAATGCTGTCACAATTTCATAGCATCATCAATACGTATTATCTGTATATATTTCGAGTTTGGAACCGTTAAAAGTGTTTTGTTTTAAAGCATTATTATTTATAGTGGAGGGTTAATTTGTGACAGTGTTGCGTTTGCTCTACTTAATAGAATCCATTTCGCTAAGCATAATCGAACCTAGATTTAGTCAATGTGTTGCAATAATCGCCTAAAGGCTTACACTTAGTGAAAATCTATAGACACAATATGTTTAGCTATTTTATGTAACTCGTGATTTATATATTTTTTGTACAGAAAGCTATTTTTAGCGGGACTCGTTGTGAAGCGTGAGGTGGGAAATTGTAAATATTTTAATCCGGTCGTTGGATACAATGTGAACTCGTCGCTTTTTCTTCATATGTTAAAGTGCATTTTTTTATTGAGACTCGTTTTGAGTGTTGCCATAATATCGAGTATGAAATGAACGATTTGTATTGTTTGTAATTTTCGGTCCCGAGACTTAACAGATATTCCGTAATATTTTTACCGGATTATCTGGACATTTAAAAGAGGTTTTATGCTTTAAATGAGTATTTTAAAACGAAATTGGAGGCGATATTTATTTGTATTCGGTCACTTGTTTGATTTGATGATGCACTTTAACGTCTCGTAGACTTTACTAGAAGAAATCTTTGTGATAAAAGTTTTTAATGTCATTCATTAGCGAACTGTAAATATAAAATGATAATGTATAAGCAAAAAAGCTGCATATATTTTGTTAAAAATTATTAAAATTTCACCTAACGGTTTGCCTACGTCTGTTTGTGGTTAGTTTCGCCCCGACAAGTCTCCTTTGTGCATTAATTTTAAGGTATGAAATCTAACAGCGGAATATTTTGTTAGTACTCTCCGCGGTCCGGGGTGAGATGTAAAAATATCATCACACGCCGATCTATCCCGACCTGTCCCGGGACGCCTCGGTTCTTTTAAGTTTAAGTGGACCGTAAAATATAACTGTATATTATACAGATGTTAATTATGATTATTTCTTTCTTAATGTTTGAAGTAAGCCTGTAAAATTAAAAATAATAATATAGAATAAAAGATGTTATGATATAATTAATTACATAAAATCTTCGTTTGAATCGACCGCCTTTCCTTTATCCTTCCCCGGGACTAGCTATTAAAACGCTTAATACAATTAAAAATACGTATATTTTAGCACATACAGTATAAAAGTCACTGGACCTAATATAAACATGATTCCCTGTTTTACGTCTTTATCAATTTCAAAATTGGAACATACTTATCAAAACTAAAAGTTGGCCAGGCCTACTGTGAACAAATGAAGGTATTTGTAACTTTGTTAGTGTTATGGACATTATAAAAATTTCTCATAATGCAAGCAGATTCTATTTTAAATCTTTCCCATAAAATGTTATTTTTAAATAATGTTTGGTTTATGAATCTCGTGAGCTCTGTTTTTGGAGGTGGAGGGGAGGCATTAAGTCTTGAACACTAGAGCCAACTATTTATATAGGCCGAACGCAAAACTTCAATAACCTGCTATATTTTATATCATAGGACCCGTAATTGTATACAATACATTAGTTACTACTAAGTGGTTTTAACTGGTGAATTAAAAATATACGATTCAAATAATTATGTTTAATTCTTATATAACATACAAACTTATGATTATATATCTGTAAGGTTGATAACTCTTCACCAATAAAATGCAAATTGATATTACAAATTTAGTCCTTTTACCCGTACGCTTTAACTGGAGACTTCGTGTAGAAGACAAATGTAGTAACTATCTTGGTCAAACGCCGCGCAGGAAGCGAAAACCGGAAGGACTTTTTTAATCACCAAAATTATTTTAACAAGACTTGTAGAATACTGTCTATCGTTTACGCGAAGTACACATCTAAATAAAACACTTTAACGGTGTTTAAAACGCGTTTCGGATGCTTTGCAGCAGCCGTGGTGACGGGGAGACAAGAAACGTCGGGCCGAAGTTAAAAAATATTTTCAAAGTTTGACTAATATATCGCGTTTTAAACCGTTAAAAGTATTTTATTTAAAAGACTTGTAGAATAAAACTTGGCGATAAATGTTTCCTACTAGTTTCTTTTGTTTTTCTTTTAAACAACTAAAGAGATTTGCGTGTATATAAACAACTTTTTTCATACAAAGTCTCCAGTTAACTCGAACGCGTCATTATCCAAGCTATCGATGAAGAGTTGACCAGCGCTTAAAAAATTACGTCAAGCATCACCAGAGTCCTTGACTAGGTACATTCTTCAAATCACAGCCGAGACTAAGAACACTGAACGTCGCCCCGCCAAGTCCTACGCAGTCTTCACCATTCGCCGAATAACAAAATATAACATCGTAACGTAAACGTACGTATCAAGAAATCACATATATAAATCTGTCAGCTCATCTATTTTATACCACTTAACGAATATATACAAAGATTATATTTGTCTATAAAATTGTAAAGATATAACAATATATAAAAGATTTTGCAGTCATAAACAAATCAATTTTTTTTATATATACATGGTATATGTATATAGGTTTCTAGGGCTAGAATATTTTTTAAGACCTCTTTTAGAAGCATTCTGCATCTTTCCAGAGATGGCGCCCTGTGCACCCCAGAGATGTATACATTTTAAAAGACATGTTACTAATAATAATTTAAAGCTGCAATACAAAGCTTAATACAGATTCTATTTATATAATTAGTACAAGAATAAACATTTCATACAATTTCCTTTAATCTTTGTATTGACTCGAATAAAAGAAATAATATATTGCAATATTTTCTTTAGTAAAATAAATTTCTAATGTAAAACACTATATTATATACACTTTAAGTCTGTAACAGTCTGAATTTAAGTTACTACTACATTATTAATTGCCAAAGGGATTAGGGATGTTATGAAGAAATAATTCAACTAAGAATTTCCTTTCTTCGACGTGTTGGTTTTCTTTGTTCGTGGACGTCTTGGTTTGAGGGACGCCGTAGGTATACCCAAACGTCAAACTCCATCGGCGAGGTTTTATACGGGCCTCCAGTCGCGCTCATTCGGCTCCCTCTTCACGTGATAGTTAAGACACGGTTGGAAGTTGACATGGATCGTCACTGGATGGAGAGGCGCTGATAGATGCACAGCTCTTGCGTCCAAAACGTCGTATGGCCCTAGGTGTCGCGCAAGGCACGCGTAATCAACACTTAATGGCACATAGTATTTTCCTGGAAAAAGAATACGTAGGTATTATCGTGACCACAAATGGACACAGAGACACTTTAGTTCATTATCGAGTGACCATGGCTTATGCTTTACAGCAGCAAACGTCGGGCCGTAGTTAAAATAATCTCCAGAATAAGTTAACTAATATATATCGCGTTTTTAACCGTTAAGGTGTTTTTTATAAATTAATTACCGAGATCGAACTCTCGACCTGAGCTTAAACTCATTGGTTACTCAACTCATCTTAAATAAAGATACTCTGTTTGTATTTCCATTTTGTTCAACGCAATTACTTAATATAGCTTTCAATTTGTTTTAACTCATACATCATTTTATTTGATACAAAATGGAGGTTATAAATAAAAAAAATACTTAGAATATTAAAAACACATCCCCAAACTAACTTCTATAAAGAAATAAACCCGAGAAGGCCGATATTATTAAATCTTACTTATTTTAACGGGTTTATGTCTCGAACTTAATGAAAATCTTAAATAAACATATATAATAATATGTCGCCATTTTGCTTTGTTTAATCAACAAAGAAAATTGTGAAATTCTGTTTTTCCCTTCTGGGACTAGGGCGAACATTTATTTGTGTCCGTTTCAATGTTGTTATTTAAATACAAGTGGTTTGATAGTGGTGATAAACCACTTGTTTTGTGTGTTTAATGCGATGCTACAGAGGCATAAAAAAATGAAAGAAACGCACCTAGAGCATTGAGAGCAAAGACGGGGACGAATTGTGTGGGGGGCAGCGGTTTTTCATACTGATGGTGATGCGGGGATTCACTCGATGTATCCTGTAGCAGACAATACAAGATATATATAAGAACAAGTATTTGACTAGCAAGTTGGTCCAGAGGCTAAAAATCGTCGGGTCGTGGGTCTATTACCACCAAGTCGGGTATGTTTGTAAAAGGTCTATAGAGACCACAATATTTTGATTAAATTACATATAGCTAGGGCATTTCATAAACAATTTTTTTACCACAGACGAATATTTTCCATACCTGTGGCGAAGTATCCCTCGCGTCCTCTGTAGAGCCAGAAGCTGAAGTGGAAGTGGAGGGTGCGGGCTTTGTAGCTCGTCGCCTCTTGTGCGAGTACACCTTGCCGTGCGCATGCGCAGGTCGCACTGCCTGCTGTGCAGCCTGTAGCACAAAGGAAGGTTAATGAACATTTTATGGCCTTAAAACAATACTACATGATTTTTAACATGTTCACGAAAGTAAGTAATTGAAATAAAACACTTGAACGGTTTAAAACGCGAAATATATTAGTTAAACTTGTTTACAAATTTAATTCTAAAACTACGTCCCCGTCCCCGTTACCATCGCTATTGCATGACATCGGAAACATCGGGCTGTAGTTAAAAATAATTTGTAAAAAAAGTAACGAATACATTTTGCGTTTTAAACCGTTCAAGTGTTTTATTTAAATGTGTACTTGTTGTTGTGAATTGTAATATTTATTTTTTAGTAATGCTAACAAGAAATTAGATATTTTTTCCGTCTGTATTATAACAACAATATACAAATCATTTTTCTTACAAATATTTATCGATCCAAAACCACAATTACAAAACTCACGCGCATGATCTTATCAGGACTTTAGGTTTAAAAAGTTTCTCGTTTCATATTTTGATAAATATACCAATGTGAGATATTGGATCAATTATAATTTATTAATCATATGGTTTACATTACTTATAATAAGTTTTATTTAGAAACCGTGCTGTCAAGTTCATTAATTTGGCAGGTACATACAGATTATATCCATGCACAAAAGTAACCCTTTTTACCCTTAGCACCTTAGGATGGCAGCAAGCAATATTTACTAGCTTTACCTCGTCACCCGGTTCCCCTCGGGTTTTTAAATTATTATTCAGAGGTTTTTAGTCCAAAAAACCACAAAATCTGGCACCGGTGTGTTTTGGGTGGGTCTACGTACTGCGGCAAGATGTAAAATCGATAATGTAATTTTCCGGATCCTATGTCGAGTGGAAAAACCAAAAAGCGTTAGTCCCGTTTGTGAAGGTGCTTAAGGGAATAATTTTGAAAAAAAAACTGCCAAAGATGTCCAAAATGTTGCTGGAGGTAAAATAAACAAAAAAAAAGTAAGCGCGCAAGACATTTTCTGTGTAATAAAAGTTTAAATAAAACGAAAGCGAGTTCTAGAACATTTTGAAATTATTAAAATCAAAATTTTAGTCAACCGTTATTTTAAGTCGGATGAAATCCCACATTTTTTAGATCTACCCACAAGACAGCTGATTTCCGATAGACCATACGCATCCGGAAACTCTCTTACTCTGTCCAACTCACTTCATTATCCTGTGACCTGGAGAATCGCCTCTCTATTGAGTTTTTAAATTTGTAGGAATGTAGGTAGTCTTCGCCGTGTTCGGGCTTTCGAACTTTTCGCAGTGTAGGCGAACGCTTGCATCGTCCGTCCAATGGAAGGGGTTCTTCTAAAGCTGCTTCATTTTCTACTATCGCCACAACTCCGTTTGGTACTGGAAATTATGAGATATTATTAAAGTATATAATGTATAAATTGAAAAAATAAATAGCGACGTTTCCGTCAATATAGAGTGTCAAAGATGAAAATACAATGAGTTTGCGTATTTGTCTTTAGAAAATTAATAATCCACATTACACAATTTGTGTTACATATTTGCAGCCTACCAAATTTTATTGAAAACATTATGATTACCAAAAAACAATTTTTGATTGAAACGAACCGGCACCAACAGCGTACACGGCGTAGGTCACGATAGTTCAATTGGCTAAAGAAGCAGAACGGAACACTGCGGACGCCGGTTCAAGTTCTGTCCGTGTTGTAATTTTTTTTCAATTGTTTTTTTAATTTTATATTGGAAATATAAAAGTTTTTAAACGATGCGTTACTCTTTTATTGCATTGGCTATAAAATAAAAGAAATCAACTTGCTTCAACTGCTAATTAATTTGTTCAACATTTATGGCAAAATTTTGTTAAGTGAAGATGAAAGTCTACCTCTATCACACTCCATAGGATAGGGGACAACGGGCCTCTCGGCCTCGTAGGGCTCTCGAGGGAAGGCGGGCAGAGGCTCCGGATGCTGGATAACTCCTTTCACCGCGTAGCCATGGGAACTGCTCGACGAGCTCGCCGTCTCTGAAGAGGAACCGGCTTGCGACCGCTGAGGTTTCTCTCGGGGTAATGTCTCTCCTGGAAACGAAATATCCTTATATAGAACGTACAAGAGAACGACAGCCGGGATTCGGGTCTTAAAAATCTTATCGTCAATATTTATTCATGGAAAAGCCCCAGAGAAGTTAAATATTTAAAACTGCTCGATTATTTGATAGGTCAAGTTTCAGACGAAACCTGAGGACTACACATGTTTACTATTTTTTGCATACGAAAGTCTATAACTGAGAACCCGTGAAAAGGTACAATTTAGTATCACTTTATTTCAAAGGCAAGGTGCGGAGAGGCGTCAGAGGTGCGATTGTTAATTCAATGAAGCTTTACTCAAAAGACAACTACAAAAAATTATATAAACTTTCGATACAAATATTATTTTTTACACGATGACATTATATTAATGAAAATCTATTTAGATTTCAAAAAATGACGACACGGGCGGGACTCGAAGCGGCATACGCAGCGACCTGTGCTGCTGTTTTAAACTTTAGTCCAATGTCAAATCGAGAAAATGTTTAATCTAAAATCTTTAATAAAAAACGTTGACAGATAAACTACATATATACTTTCTCGGTTCCTAGACTCATATACGTAGGTGTTATGGAACCATGTGTAACTTTCGTAGAATTGTATTATCTTAAATAAAAACACCTGTTGTTGAATTATCAGAATAAATTTTAGTGACAAATATTGTTATTGTTAGTTTTATGGAGATATAACAATATTATCTTTTTACGGCTCTGATAAACTAAAAATAGGGAGTTATATAAAGCATACTTACAAATGCAAATACGCTTGCATTCTAGAATATTTTAGATTAAAAGAAAATGAGTGGGTCTTAAACCCAGTAGCAGAGCTGCCATGCTCTTGTTCTACCTTTTGAGTATATAAATGGAGCAACTTTGTAATAAAAATTAATTAAGCTTATACTGTCTGTAATTTACGCGAGTAGAACGGTCTCTCCGTGACCACGGCTGCTGCAAAGCATCCGAAACGTCGGACCGTAGTAAAAATGTTTTTCAAATAAGTATAACTAATATATCGCGTTTTAAACCGTTAAAGTGCTTTATTTAAATAACTTGCTTTTATTTCTGTAAACGCTATATATAGTGAAAGTAGAATTTAATATATAATTCTTAGCATTATATTATACAACCATACATCTATATGTAGACATGTATATGTCAGTGCAAGAATTTTATAACGAAAAATATCGTAATGAATTTAACATTGCCTTGAAAATAAGTGTTATATCTTGGACATGACTACATCGATCTAGATACCAATTTGCACTTTAAAAATATTACATGACAAATACGGACAGGTACAATGTACAGCGACATGACAATTTGTACTATCAACTCTCCCTCCGTCTTACGAATTTTCAATTTGTATTTTCATAAACAAAAAAAAACAATGATATATTTTAAATACGGTTCCACCGAAATACCGTCTGTAGTTTACGCGAATATTACATACACATTTAGATAAAACACTTTAACGGTTTAAAATTAGTCGTTGTATAATCTCCCCGTGACCACGGCTGCTGCACATCCGATACATTGGACAGTACTTAGTTAAAAATAATTTGTAAACAATTTTAACGGATAAATTTCGCGTCTTAAATCGTTATTAAACTACGGTTTCCCATTTACCTTTGGTAATAATCTCGCAGTGCCTCTGCAGATGCGAAGCCAGCTGCACGCAGAGACCGTCTGCCGGCCCGAAGCCCTGCACCTCGACGAGGAACCTAACGGCCTCGCCGACCGCCTCCTGGTACCCAGTCCTGAATTGCTCCTCCCCCGCCTGCCTCTCAGCGGCTACAAAACAAGCCACGGCGCAGATGCAACACCTCCACGCGGCCGACTCCCGAAAATATTAGCGTCCTTCAGTGTTATACCCTCAGCGTTTCACATTGGTATCGCAAATACACTCATGAGACAACGTATAGACAGTCACATTATAACTTTAATGCTAATAATGTAATGTAACTGTTTATACGTTGTTATTACTTTATAATTCGTGATGGTATAAAAAAATAATTTAACTATGCATCTTACTATTAATTTATATATAATATAATATTATTTTTATTTAATGTTTTATATAGGTACTGAAAAAGCACTGTCTTTAATTGAAAAAATTTCGACACGGACATGACTTCAACCGGCATTCATAGCATTCCGGGGTGAAGCCCCAAAAACCAAAAAAAAGGGCCCCCGGGGGGGGGTCCCCCCCCCCCCCGGGGGGGTTTTTTTTTCTAAAAAAAAAAATTTTTTTAAAAAAAAAACCCCCCCCCGCCCCAAAAAAAAAAATTAAAGTTTTCAAAAATTTCTGCCTGTTAATTATATTTCCTTACATTTGTCTATATGCCTTTGTTGCATAAGTGGATAATAAAACATATATATATGCATATATTTTTTTAAACAAGTGTATTTGCGATTACTACCAAGGTGTGGAGGTTTTGAATAATAAAAAAAATAGTTTACCCATTTCTCAGATTGTCCATTCAAAGCGAATACAACAAAATCCGGAAGCCAAAACAAATAATTTAGAAGCACCTGAAGAAAACTATCATTTGCGAACGCCGTGAAATGCACAAAAACCTACCTACACACTTCGAGGATTCATTCAAAATTATGACAGAAAATAAACGTCATATTTACAACATTACTCAATGGTTAACGCGACATTGCCGAAAGGTCCTGGGTTCAAACTGCGTAAGTTGACCACAGAATAAATAAAGATCAGTGAAACGGTCACAGAATAAATATACATTTTTATTTAAACCTAAAATCCAAACTAGAGCATTTAAAAAATGTTTTATCTTTAAAAGGTCATTCTAGATTTGTTAACACCCTTAGTGCCTGTCTATAGTTTACGCGAGTAGTAACATTAAATAAAACACTTTAACGGTCGCCAAATACCAACTTCGACGGAACAGATGGCGCTAGCGTAGCAATTTTTTACTTTGACTTTAGAGACATCCTCCATCTTTAGTTTCCCCGTGACCACGGCTGCTGCAAAACATCCGAAACGTCGGGCCGAAGTTAAAAAATCATTTTCAAATAAGTTTAACTAATATATCGCGTTTTAAACCGTTAAAGTGTTATATTTAAACATCATTAGTGTACAAACCGTTGACTCGCTCCTGCAGGAATTTGAGGTGGCGTATGGCCATCTCGATGATTTCAGTCTTTTCAACTCTTCCACGACCTTTCTTCAGGTATTCTGGTGGGATCAGACGAGATAAGTCCGCGAGGCAATTGTTCATGCGGTCTCGTCGCCTTTTCTCTATGATTCGATGCGACATCGGATCTTGCTGTTGATGAAACCATAGATTAATCATACAGTACATAAAAATACCTTTAGACCTTAGCCAGATTTATATTGTGGGACGAAAAGTCTCTTCATATAAGGCCATAAAGGTCTATAGGTACTAATAAACTTTAATCAATGCACCACAGGCAGTCATTCGATTAATTAAACTGTGTTTAAGATTAACCTGCAGCGAATCTTTTAATACTGAAATTTGTTTTACACGATGTACGAGTATTATGTCTTAGAAATCTATTAATAGACAGCACAGTACAGTATTGTCGTCGATTAGCCCGAACATACAGACAGATTGATAAGTTAATTATGCTTATGTTACTCTTTTTATATCAGCCATAACTTCGTGACTATTGTATAAGTATGGACAGACATATAATTTCAAATGCTTTGTTATGTTTGATCCTCATAGGGTCCGTGATTCGATATTCGTTTTCCCAAAATTTTGACCGAACAAGTCTTTCATAACTGTGTCTTTGATAAAACTATACAAAAGCAAATACTGTCTATAGTTTACGCGAGTAGTACACATTTAAATAAAACACTTTAACGGTTTAAAACGCGATATATTAGTTAAACTTATTTGAAAATGATTTTTAACTTCGGCCCGACGTCTCCCCGTGACCACGGCTGCTGCAAAGCATCCGAAACGTCGGGCCGAAGTTAAAAATTATTTTCAAATAAGTTTAATTAATATATCGCGTTTTAAACCGTTAAAGTGTTTTACAATATATACAAAAGTAATTAAATAATCTTAAATCAAAAACAATATGTATATGTGTGTATGTATGGATGATACCTTAACTTTAAATGTAAATCCTAAATACCAAGGGATATGTTTATTGAATCACATGTTCAAAGGTGCCTTAAAAACTAAAAATGACATAGGTATTATGACTAAAATTAATAAATTGTAATCTTAATAAGGTATTGAGGATTTGCATTTAAATTTAAAAAGAAAAGAATAAAAAATGGGCATGCTCGGTTTAACTTGCCCTCGAGACCTTCCCCTTCTTGAGGTAAGCTCCGGTGCCAGCCAGGTATTCCGCTTCATCCTCAGAACGCGCGGAGAAGTTCAGCTGGTCTCCATTCGGTCGACCGAAGCCGTCATTTGAATTATAACTGGAAAAAGTAGAAAAAATATTATCAATATAATAAAAAGGAAGAACACATAAAATTCTCGAAATGTTTTTTATTTATTATTACAGTTTTTTGGCTTGACTTTGTTTGACAGAGGAGAGGGGTTTCGCTTAATGTAAGGTAAAAAAATACAAGCTATCTAAATGGATTAATACATATTAATTACATCTAAATCTGCATCTGCACACGAGGCCTTAAGTTGGAATGGCGGCAAGCGATAAATTGTATCGGTCAGACTGGATATAGTCAAATCAACACTACTTGCTTGTTCAAAAAATTGTATCAGTAAAACGGACACAGAAATGTATTCGCCCCATGCCCTAGAGGGGAAAACGAAATTTTCTGTTCTTGAGATACGTTTTCATAACTTTAGGTTGCCTGGAAGAGATCGCTTGTTAGCGATAAGGCCGCCCATTCCTCTACGTTCTAGTATATAAGTTTAATTTGTAATATTTTTATTTTTTGTGCAATAAAGAATATATAATAATACGTTACGTAGATTAAAGTCCAACCGTCTTTTAGTTAATAAACGTAATAAACTAAGGCGTAATAAACACTCGAAAAGCGTTCTCCTATACTTCTATAATATGTACTTGTCTACGTGTAAAAAATTGTCAACAACTGATAAAAATTCCACATTTTGATCCCAGACTCGACAGACCTATAAATAAGTATAACCATTTTTCTGTGTCTTGCCACGTGATGCGTCTCGTTTATAAAAATTATATGGACAAGCGATTTGAAAGACCTTGAAAAACGTTTAACATATACAGGGTGGAATATAAAAGTAGGACGAAGGAATTCTTTTATAACTTCCGTTAATATTCGTAGGTACTTAAGTACATCTACTAATTCGGTCTTCAAGGATTATCGATTTATGGACGATTGGAATTTTCCAACCCGCGAACTTCGTGTCGATGCTCACTAAGATATGAGCTGTTTACCCCAGTCCTTGTTACATAATTAGGTATATATTTAATAGGTCCAAAACAAAGTCTAATTTTGACTTACGTAGTAAGTAACAGACCCAACTAAACTTTGCACATCAAAATATTATATTAGTAACATGAAACATAATCTACAACTCCAACGAGAATGAAATCTGCGACTAATAGCTTACCTTACTCTACGACGTTAAATTTTACATAGCCATGACCATTAACACGTAAAAATTATAAATATTAAAGTACATGACTTTATTTCTAATCGTTTTCATTGCATTTTCGTAACTAGATTACATTGCTAGTGTTTTTGCTATTTACAGTTTCCCTTTTTTACCATTACGTTTATTGAAAATATGATTAAATAGTTTACGCGTTTATAAAACTTTAAGGATGTTGGGCCGACGAGTTCCGTGGCCACGGCAAAGCATCCGAAACGTCGGGCCGAAGTTAAAAATAATTTTCAAATAAGTTTAAGTAATATATCGCGTTTTAAACCCTTAAAATGTTTTATTTAAATGAAAATATGACTTTTAAGTAGACTTACTAGAAAGTGAAATATAATTAATTAGATGAATAAGATACAGCCTAGACTGGCCTATCAAATTGCGTGCATTTGAATCGTGTGCCGTTAGACCATTTGCATTTTAAATAGTAATTTTCATAGTAGCTAGTTTGGAATATTCCGTTGTTTTGTTCATTATATGTTTTGATTGATTTATTTGCTTAACTCCTCCTTTCACAACACAAACATGATTATAAAAAATGAAATATCGAGTAACCTTATCACAATAAACCGATATCTTACTTACATCCCTTTATTTAAAATGTATGAAATAATAAACATCATTAATGTTAAGTGAATGATTTTTTGTAAGTATAGGAGAGCAGAGTAGTACGGGGTTCTCTGAATAGAAGGTGAAATAACCCAGCCACACAACATCACGTAAATGTGCTTTCGACCTATTGATTTTATATACATATTCGGAAAACCACAGAGTGAAACCGAAATGCGATTAAATTTTACGGCTATCTATCGGCAGACGAAGTCCTGGTTAAAAAAAATATTCATTTTATTAATTCTAACGAATGGGCGAATTACTTCATAATTTTTTGCCATTCTTATTTTGAAACCAATATTTCCACTTAAAGTAAACCCTGCGTCACAGTACACAATGTTTTGACATGCGTTTAAAATTCATATTCGTATATTTATGAAGTCACGCGCACCTCCAGAGCCTGGAACCAAGTGTCGCGCACGTGATCCTTACATGTGACTTAAAAATTTATTTCACGTGATGAATTTAGGGCTGTCTCCTACATTATTTTAGATTTATCTACGCTTAAGATACGTTAGAGAATTGCAATATTTTCTATTATAGCCTACAAAGTTATTATTGTAAAAAAGAAACAGCAATAAAGGCTTTATTATGTATATCTAGCATGTGTTATTGGAATCCTAAGACATGAGGACTCCTACGTTTGTCTAGAAATATATCAATCCACCCCATTTCGCAAAATGCTCAATTTGAGAAAACCTGTCACAATATTTATAACAGACCAGAAAAACCATACAAACCGCGTTTGAACCATTTCCTTTGTGACAAAGGACAGATGAACAAGTGTAACAGGTTTAAAAATAATAATAAGATTTATTTACGATGCGACGCCGATGTAATTTTGGATTCGGGATTCCACAGACTAATACAAAATCGCATATTTACACCTCGCAGCTTTTAACATCTGTGTACGGTAGTTTGTGAGACGGAATTTCGATACTCCTACCGCCAGAAGAGATGTAACATGTCTTAAAAATGTATTAATCTACAAAAAATTTGGAACAGGTGGAATCAAACCAAAGAACTATTTACCATACATGTGTATGGTAAATAGTTCTTTACTTTATGTAAAGTAAACCCAGTTTTTTTTAATTGACAAGTAATACATAATTTGAGTAGCTTTTACGAGAACCGTTTGGGTCCCTTTTATCTTAGTACAGAGCATCAGAACAGCACTGTAATATAAGATAAGTCATTAAGTTCTTTAACTTTTTTTAAATATAAATAACTAATATTAGTGCACTTACGTACGTGTCAATATGTTTCCTAATTATTTATAACTGTCAAGTGTCAACCCTATTAACAAAGAAATACCATAATTGTTGCGCAATATTGCGGGTCGAACTTCGTACATTGGAGCTCTTCTAATAAGGGTAATTACCCTTTAGAATTCATATTGGTAACTCATATCTTTATAGTTCAATTCGTGAAATTCTACATCTCATAAACCGCTTACGACTTTCTTCGCGATGTATTTGTGTCTGAAGTCCGATATAACCTTGAGATAACAATTCACGTGTAAAAAGTAATGAATATTCGCTCACATTTTATACACGTGATCTTGACTCATAATACGTGAGTGACAAATACCAATGGCACACAAAAAGCGAAACTATACATTGAATATATAAATATTTAGTATTAAAATGACATGTAATATAGTACTTCCTTGTGCCTGTGCCTGAAAGGAAAATTCCGTTACGCACTCGTTAGGCATGTTTTTCTGGTGAATTTTATAAACTGGCTTCAGTGAAAAGGTTCATTAACTATTTAAAAAGAGACAATATAACTTACTAGTATCAAATAGATTCGTACAATTAATTTATTTTCACTAAGATGGCGCGACCTCCTGTATCGACATACTTAATAGCTTCTAGATGGATGAGCTGCCTATTGCTTTATGCAAACAATCGTGTGACGTCATACATTCACGTGACGATCTTGCAACAGGTTTTTAATACAGATACACAATCTTCGGTCAGTAAAGGCACAATATAACAGCGCTAAATTTAAAAGTCATGTCTATATTTAGACTCCTAAGTAAGACTCTCAAAGGTTCGTTGTCCAGATTAAATCTGAATGCATTATAAAAATTATTAGTTGTTATGTTATTAGCTATATATATATTGGTCCATGAGGGGCAAAATATGCAATAGATTGTGAAAATTACTAACATATTTATTGAATTTGTATATTGTCACTTAAAGAAGACACATATAATACATCCGTCATCAATTGAAATTTCCAAGAAATAATATCAACCTTGGGATTACATCAAAATTAAGTTTTAAACCTTAAAACCTTAAATCGTTTTTTTCCCGCCAAAATCTACTTCAGGTTTTTGAGCATAGACTATATGTTAACTTTTATAATGTAAGTAGTAATACTATGTAACTTAAAAAGTTTTAACAACCCTATGAAGATGGAAATCTCCGAGTAGCTAGAAAACGCATAATATCGACAGGTATATCTCATCACACTGCCATGCACGTTTGGGGCCGTGTGATAAGTGACATGTTTACACACGTGTGCCAATTTAGGTTATTATAGACGTGTGACGTAGGCATTGTAACCTTATTGTTGTGTTATGTGGCAACACTACATGATACGAGTGCTAATTGTCATTCATTTTATAGCGCCATTTTTATTGCATTGGTACTTGGTAGATTTGAATTTAGAACGTGTTCTTCGCTATTGTTGGTTTGGAATGCATTATAATTTATGTTGTATAAACGATGAGTTTTAAGATCAAACGACTAATGTATCACACTACACCCCTAAGATGACCGGAAAAAATCGAATCGATGATAATTTTGCTATTATTCAGTATTTTATTTACGTATTAGAGACTGAAGATGTGTGTGGAACTAAATGGCTGCTGACAAATAATATTTCGTCAGATAAACATTATTGAGGAAATAAAAAAATACTTACTTATTAATATGCAATATTTGACTAGTCAAATGAATCTTCATAAATAGTACCAAAAGATGTTTTGTTGTATTATTAATAGCTACTACCTTGAAAATAGTGCATATATAAAAATTTAATTGACGTGATTGAACAATATCTAAATGATTCCCAATGAAATCTTTACTACAGCAATAATATTATTTTATTTCAAAGCATTTCTATCAATATCGTTTGCGTAATATGCAATAGTATGAATTTAAATTACAATACATATTTCTATTTTTTAAAC